CTGCTACAGTGTGAATTTTATAACACTAATTGGAAGTATAATTAATTAATTAGGGAAGCTGAATTGCACTGTGGAGACTGCTAATGGTCCTAAAGAGATGGCATCACAAGAAGAAAAGTTTTGCTGGCAGCACAGTTGCTTTGAGTGCTGTTACACTATTTCTCAAAATAAGGAGTAACAAATATAATAATACAAAGTACTGTGCTAATAATACTGCTAGTGATAATGGCAAAGGCCATTACTCTCAAATAAAACCCAAATGACTATATTGCTCAGGTTTTTTTTCTAGTATCTTTAATACATTGAAATGCCTGTAGGAAAAATGACTTTGTATGAAGCTAACCCCTAACCTCTTTTTTTCCCCTCACTGAAACAACTGCTTTTATAACATGATTTTGAATAACACATGGATTCTTAAGAACAGATTTACCATGCTATATCAAATAAGAAGGTACTACAGAATTACCAGTGTCTGTTCCCCCAAAGCACTCCTATCTACACTGTAGCAGCTCTAGCAACAGAAGTCAGGGGCCAGGAAGGCTGAAACGAATGTTACAAAAATAAAGGCATGGATAACCAGTGCCTGTCCAAGGAATTTAGAGACAGAAGATATAAGGAGCATTTCCTGCACCACAGCACTCTTCCACAGCGACACCTCGAATATAATAAACAAGCTGGGAGTAGGAAGGTAACAGAAAGACAGATTTGGAAGTCCTTCATCTATGAAAGTGGATAAAGTAACTATGGGCTAAAAGAAAAATAGCAACCTAGTACAGCACTAATTGTGCTGGAACACGCACTGTAAATTTGGGCCCTAATCAATGGAGTAATTTCCAATATCCAAAAAGAAGCAAGGTTGGTAACCAAATTCAAAACTGAAATATATTCCCAGAGAAAATAGTTATACTTCTCAGCCGTAGAAATCACTGTAACACAGGACAAAATGAGGCCATGAAATCTAGTTCAGCCACACTGGAGGACCAGATAACGGCAGAGGAGCAAACGGAAGCTCCGGCAGGCCAAAGACCCAGCCAGCACTCAAAGCTGGGTCCACAGACACCTTCCAAAAGCGGTGTGTGGTCATGCTCGACTGAGCATACTACGCAACCCTATGATGTTGGAAAATGAGAGGCAAGAAGACTCAAAGACAGGACGGGAAATGATGCAAGAACAGCTAAAAAACAGAAGAAAGGAAGAAGGCAGGTAGAGAAAAAAGTACTTCCAGAATTTTTACCAGTAGTAAAAAAAACATATTTAGCTATTAAGAGTAATGGCATCAAAAAACATTTCTAAATCAATTCTCAAAACATTTCTCTCATCTCCTCTGAAAAAGTTCTAAAAAACACAACCAAAGATGAAAGGGAAGTTAAAGATAGGTAAAGCAATAATCGCGCTGGATTAGTAACTCGGAATCAGCTTTATCCTCTGTTCTAAAGAATAGGAGCCACATAAGAGCAGTTATCTTTTAAACTGTTCCCCCAACATTAAGAAATCCAGAATACTATGCAGCGATTAGAAATATTTACTTTTAATGAACTGTTTTTACTAATGTGTGAAAATATCCCTACGTTTTAAATACAATCTACAGAATTAGATCCACCACACCATGCATCTGTACCCTAAATTCTAGCCCGGAATCAATTCTCTAGCGAGACGGGGAAATCTTCGGAGCCCACGTCTAGCGGAGCCGTCAAAGTGCAGACCCTTGAAGACCTCTGCGTCACCTGCGCCGCCCGTGCTCCTCCAGGAGAAACTCTGGCTCCCCACACGCACCGCCTCGATCTGGAGGGCAGTGGTCGGGCTCCGCGTCAGAATCGGCGACTTGGAGATCAGCACCCTTCGGGCGGGCAGGGCACCCGCGTCGCGCTCGCGGAGGGACGGAAAGTGGAGGCTGTGTCCTCGGCGAAGGCGGCCCGCCGCACCGGTCTCAGGGCAGCAGCGGCGGCGGAGGGGGCTCGGCGCGGCAGTCCTGCGCCGAGAAGCCGGCGGGGACAACGCGGCCCGGCTCAGCAGCCCGCTGCCCCGGGGGCCCTCCCCATCGGCCGCTCGCCCTCACAGCCCGTCTTGTCCACTCGCTCGCCAGCCCGCAGACGTACAGAGAGGCGCGGCTCCACGAGCGACGCCACAGCCCGCACACACGATCAACGCTCGGCGGCCGCCGCGCCCCCGCCCCGTTGTGACACCGCGAGCCAATCGCTCGCCGGCGCTCACGTCGCCCTCCAATCAGCGGGGTGGGGCGGGGCCTGGCCGCCGGACGCCGGCGGTTGCTCGGCAGCTGGGGCTTCCCTTGGGCTAGGTGATGATTGTCGGTTAGGAGGCCCGGATGTTGACCCTTCATTACTAACAGTGGACACCTGACTCGGGCCAGAGCGGGTGAGCTGGAGACCAGCCGCACGGGCTGCTGGGAACGACGGGATTGGCCCCTGGCCGGACGAGGGTGTGGACAGCACCTCCCCTGAGACCAGCTTAAGGCGGGTGCCTCCTGTGATGAGGGAAGGAGGAAGCCAGGCAGACGCCGTGCAGTCGATGGCCTTTCCAGAGCCTGTGCACTCCTAGTGCGCTCCGGGCTGCCCTGCCTTGAACAGATTCCCCTTCCTGCGCTTCACTGTTCCCTAAAATTTCTGGGCCTCAATTACCTCATCTGAAATATGGGGCTATTGCCATACCTGGTTGAAAACAAGGAGGAAAGAAACAACCTCTGTAGGTCTTATCCATTTATTATTCCTCATCCAATTTACTGAGAATGGTAGGCCAGATATTGGAGTGGGCTTCTTGGACTTAAATCCCAGCGTTGGGTAAAGCCCAGCCACCCTTTTATTTTCCTCTAATTCCCAAGCTGCTGAGCTCAGGTGTACAACATAACAGACAACACAAACCTTCCAACCTGAGATGGGCCCCCATTGCTGCTTTTTCCCTCCATTCCCCACAGGTGTTCTAAATCCAACCCTTACAGATCTTCCAACCCAACTGGTCTATTTCACTATTTGAAGAACTCAGCCACAATGAACAGTAACCTCCCTCCCACTGCAGCTTCACTCATCCTCATTTTGTGACAGAGGAACCCCAACACCTAATCTGTCGCCTATCCTTTCTCATTCTCCTGAGACCCCACCCACAAATTTATCTCCACAATTCAGCAAACTATTGAGCATACACTGGGATTTATGATGAGGCACTGGGCTTTCATTTATCTTCACGCTCTCTTGCCATTGGTTCCTTCTTAAATTCTAATATTGAATAGATTGAGGCCCCTTGAGGAAAGAGATATGATTATTATTATCTCTGTATACTAGTCTCTAAAGCAGTGCCTGTGATGGAGTGAATCTTACTCAATCAAAAATTTAGTTTCTCAATCTGCCTCCCCACTTCAGTCAGACAGAACTGAGAGCACCAGTTTTATTAGAGTCAGGCAGATAAGTTTAAAGCCTTGGGTTCTAACACTGAAAGCCGTTACCTTGGTGAAATCATTCATTCTCATCATCTACCATTTTTTAAGAGCCAGATAGTTAACAAGGCTCTTTTCAAATTCTCTCCCATCACAATCCTGCAAAATTGGTACTTGACAAAGGAGGACATAGAAGCTAAGAAAGGTAAAACAATTTGCCTGCACTCAAACAGCTCTAAGTGGGAGAACCAGGTTTAAATCTAGGTCTCAATACAAAAATCCCAACTTGTTCCACTATTCCACTCTACTTCCAGATTTTAATCTCATCTGTAAAATGAGGACATTATCTGTCTGGTAGAGTTCTGGAGACTGAATGAAATAACATGAAAAATGCCTACCATAGGACCAATAAATATAGGTTCCTTCCCCTTTCAAAGCTCTCAAAATAGCAATTTGCATATTTTCTAACTCTGTTGTCTCCTGAATTCCTTGAAATCAATCCTAATGACAGATCAGTAGATCTGATCACTTCAAAAGAAAAACGTGTTTAACAAATGCTTACTGAATCAGACCCCACACTGGGCTGGGACTCAGAGCAGGAAATAATGTACACAAGTAATCTAAGGGACAGGAGGTAGATGCATAAAAGGGATAGGGAAAAGCAAGAGGCTAAACTAGTAAGCACCCTCTTCTGCCATTGGGTTACTCTTATAGCAGAGCAGGGCAAAATCTTTGACTCTGAGTATGAGCAGTTCCCAATTCAATCTTAAAAATGCCCAAGGAAGGAGTTAGCGGCTTCAGAATTGGTGAAGCCAACCCGGCCTGACTACAAGATTGTGCCACGGTTACAGATGAAATACTCATCACCAAGATGGCACAGCACAGGAACACACACACTAGAAAGAGGGTTAGCCATCCATGTGGCTAGTGGCTACCACACTGGACAACAGTTACAGAACATCCCTTTCAGTGCAGAGTTCTATGGAACAGTGTTGCTCTGGAGGCTATTTCCATCCTCAGCACTTCTCCCTACCATTACCTAGGTTCATTTTTCCTCTTTCACAAAATAATGCAAAGCTCCAAGGACTGAAAATGAATGCCTTAGAGGAAGGGTCAGCAAACTGTTTCTGTAAAGGGCTAGACAGAAAATATTTTAGGCTTTGTGGGCCATCCAGTCTCTGTCACAACTCTGACCTTGTAGGTGGGTGAAAACAGCCACAGACAATATGTAAATGAATGAGTATGGTTGTGTTCCCATAAAACTTTATTTACAAAAACAGACAGTGGAGGGCCCTAGTTTGCCAAAACTTGGCCTTAGTGGACCTGTAGAGGCATCTTCAGAATTCAGTGGAATCAGAGGAAATCTCGTCTCCTATTGCAAAGACTCATGAAGTATATAACCTCTCATTCTCTTCCTCTATCAACTGCCCAGGCTCTAAGCTAGGGCTCCCATCCATGTAAGGAAGACTCCTGGTCATGTGAATGGCATTTGCTACCTCTGGATTCCCTGCCCACCCATGAAAGGCACAAATAGGTTTCTTCTCTAACATGCCCTAAATCATACTGTGGCCCTACCAAGGCTAATTAAATCAAAACAGAGTTTTAAAAAAAAAAAAAGAAAAAACACAACACTGTAAAACATTTATTTTTGTTTTGCAGTATTAAGCATAATTAAAACCAGTGCAGAAAAATACTAAGTACATTGAGTAAGAGGTAAGCTAGCTGTTTCATTATTTGCTTTTTATAAATTCAGTTAAGACATGGAGCACATAAGACAGCATCATTAACTCAAGGATGTAGCTGAAGGGTGAGATGTGATACCCTGTACACTCTACTGGCCTCCAAGGGCGTTCAAGGGATCATCGAATATGTTGGACACCTTCTGTTCAGATCTTGGTTCAGGCGCTGCCTGTGAAGATCGACTTTTTGGTTTGGTTGTCTTAGCTTGGATACCAGAGGAGAAGATATCATCTTTAAAAAAAAAAAGAGTTGATGAACAGGTAAGAAAATGGGTGCTTTTAAGACCTATCAACACAAAACAGCAAAGACTCAAGTATGGTAACCATATGGGATACCAAAAAACACTAAGATAGAGCCAAGCCTCTTAGATTGTGGTTCTGGCTCTGCTACTAATTAAGTTGTAGGATCACATACCAGTCACGGGTTCTCTCTGAGCACAATTTTCTCAGCTACAAAGCTATATGTGTGCACATGGCAGGAGAGGAAAAAGGGAAGAAAAGCTGGATGTCCCATCCAGCCCCTGACTTTACCATCTGTGACGTTATCCTTATTTCTACACTCTTTTCCCACTGGATTTTAAAAGGAAACAGCAATAAAAATAAGCAAAAGCAAATCCAACCTAGGAGTTACCCTCTTTCAGAATAAACGCATCTATCTGAGGCATCTCAGTGCTAAGAATGTAAGTCTTTGACTATATTCGTGTTTAGTGTTTCACTGACTTGAGCCTTTCATGACTCATCTCAGTACTGTTACTAAACCAGTAATGTTACTGCTAGGATTCTATCCTACAGATAATTCAGCATATATACATAAAGATATGTATACACAAATGTTAAAGACCATGGTGTTATTTATAATAGAGAAAACTTAGAAATAATAGAGATCATTCTCAATAAGCTCATGGCTAAATACAAAGCAATACTACACAACCACTAAAAACAAGGAAGTGGATCTCTGTGTACGACCCAGGAAGACATTAAGTAACCAAAAGGAACCGCAGAACAGGTAAAGTATATTTTTATTTTGGAAAAAATAAATATATATTTATATATATACAAATCTATATTAATATCACCGTGTCTGAAAGGAGACACACCAAACTCTCAGTAATGGCTACCTCCAGGGATTTTTTTTTACTTTTTACATTTTCTGAAAAGTATTAATATATTACAACAAGCATATATTACTTTTTTTGTCATACAAGAAACGAAGTCTCCTCTGTACCCTGTATGGTGGGAACCATGTGGAGACAGAGCATACGGCTTGCACAGGGAACAGACCCAGAGTGGCACTGCAGCCCCAGCTTTCTCCCAGTTAACCCCAGGTCTAGACCTGGGAGAGAGAGGGGGAGTAGGAAGTGTATATTTGGCCTCAGCCCAAGTCCTATCCACCAACACAGGATTTATCAGAAACCTTACCTTTAGGGTTACGGGGCATTTGGCTCGCCCATTAATAAAACAGATGTTACACCATGGAGGGAAAATGAGCACATTTACAAATACTAAATATCTTTGGTGAGATGCAAAGTCTGAGTTATAACCTGCTTTCCTATATAGTGCTGTTCTCCTCTGCACTGCCCCTTCATTCTCTGAACCACTGCTGCTCACTCTCCAGCTAGAACTCTGACTCAACCAACTGCATCATGCCTGAGGCAGCCACCTCAGCCTACTTTAGCACAGGGGGTAGTTTCTGATCCTCCTTTCATAACATCAGGGTGTTCAGATGATTGGCAGGCGGCAGACTAAGATAAAAGTTAAATTATACTTAAAAGTCAAATTCTGGGCTCCTTCAAATTCCTTGATGTCCATCATACCAAAAAGTGTTTCACCAAAATGACTAGTCCATTTACTTATCCATCCTGAGCGTAACTGAGGATTACACAGCAAGCCGAAGGAAACCCACTGGGGAACATTTTTCAGGAAAGGGCCAAGACAAAGGTAGCAGGAGAAATATCAAGTCACTGAACAGTAATGACTCTCTTATGTCATTGGTGTAGAAAACCAAACTTACCCATATCATCATCAAATATAGACTTAGCTTCCACTTTCTTTTTGGACTTTTCTTTTGGTTTTACAGTTAGGTCAGCAAAGATGTCAATGTTATCATCAAACAAGTTGGACTCAAATGTTCTCTCCTTCTCTTTTGCTTTTTGTAAGGGTTTAATTGCTTCTGTAGCAAATATATCATCCTTGTTAAGCCAAAAAACAAGCAAAACAATTTTAAATCAAATTATTTTTTTATTAAAAACACTTACTTCAACAAGTTGTAGAAGTGCAAGCTGCCAGTGTTCTAGAACGGTCATGTGCCCCGCCCCGCTCTGCATGGAACAGGCTGCTTCACATCTCTGACTGCCCTGGTCCTCATTCTTCTAGTCCTGGCTCAAATGCCAGCTCTACAGAGAGGCCTTCTTTACCAGTCCTACCTGAAGGAGCACCTCCCACCCCTACCCAGCACGTGGCCCCACTGCCCTGAGTTGTTTTCTTTATGGCACTTACCTTTATCTGAAAACATCTTATTTATCTGTTGCCCTGTCTGTATTCAATTCCCCTCCGAGAGCTCTGGGGATCAGAGCACTGGTCCTAGTTCAGCTGGTAAACATCTGCCCAGAGAGCGTCACTGAAGGCCTTCCTGCCTGCACTAAACCCTCAGCTCCAGCCAGCGCCTGTTTCCCCAAGAACCAGGGGTTAAACACTCAAGCTGTACCGAATACTGCTTTATATATGTCAGAGTAGCATGCCAAGGAAGCTGACTGTAGCAACATTCTTATAAAAACTATAAAAATAAGACTCGTATCAATGGTTATGGCCAGGCAGGAACTAGCCCCTACATGCAACAAAATTAAAAACTACTTCCGGGTAAGTTTCATAGTTATTAATAAGATAATCTAATTATAATTACCAAGCAAGTAGATATAGGGCAGCAACGACAAGCTTAATGTAATCTATGGCTCAAATGGGCCTAGCAGGTATTTTCCCTAACATAGAACCAGGCACAGAAACATACTGTTATGTCCTACTACCTCAAAAATATCTTGTGCTTTCGAGAGGACATCCTGCTGACTGTTGGATTTTGACTCCTTCTTCTTGCTTTTCTGATCTGTAAAGAGATCATCCTCATCTTCCAGGAGAGGGAAGGGATTTGTTTTCTTCACTGGTTTTGGTTTAACAGACTGAAAGAGATCATCATCACTGCCTGCCTCACCAAGAGCAGGAAACATGGCGCTCTTTTCTTTAATTCCGCCTGGCAGGTTGGCCGGGCTCTCTGCTGCCTTCGCCTTGGCTTTTCTTCGCCCCGTCGACTGAGATCCAGTGCCCTTTGAAAATATATCTCCAGAATCAAAAAGGTCATCCTCAGGAGGCTGACCCAGAGATTTCACAAAAGGCACAGGACCACCTGCCCAAGTTGGCATGGCACCTGCTATGACCGCCTCAGAACGGTCTCCTCCACTAGCTGCCCTGGGCTCTGGCTGACAGCCATCTGGTGAAATGAAGCCATCAGCCAATTGTGCAATGGATCCTCTGGGGACACTCATATCCTCAGTTTCACTGGACTCCTGGGCAGCCAAGCGCCGAGCCGCGCGGGTCTGTGGTCTGCGCTTCCCTCTCACTTTGACCCGGCTCTGCAATGGCAAAAAAACCACACGTTGATCTGATGATTTAAAAAAAAAAAAAGTGTTCAAAGTTAACATAGGAAAATATCAGCAACTCAAAATAATGTAAGGTTATCTGGTCTACCTCAATCAAGATATTATCTAAGACAGAAGAGAGTATTTCTTAAAAATTTACAAAGGACTTTAATACTCTAAGTCTAAGTCATTCTTAATCCTGTAGTGTTCCCCATTTTTGAGTCTTTTGACGGCAATTTCTGTTCAGTTTCATACAAAAGGCTTCATCTGCCTCTGGAACCCTGTAAAGTAGGCATGTTGGTGCTCTGAGTCCCACAACCCTCTCTGGCCCCTACTCTGCCCTCAATTTAAATGTGGGTATCTTTCAAAACAAGAAGGAATCAGGGGGAATTCTGGGACTAACCTTTATCACGGGCTAACCTAAAATCAGGCTCCAGGAGCAGGGAGATATAAGACAATAAAGAAAAAGAAGTAATCTAAGGTGCCCCTTTCTTCAAGTCAACAAACACTAAATTCAAATGTTCAATATTTCACGTAAAAGATGTGGTTTAGAAATCAGAACTTTTAATATAACCTCAAAATGAGTCACTTATTAGCAATAATGCAGTATCTGTGATATTTTCCAAATTATATAATCAAGTAGTTTTGAGAAGGTACAAGCTACTTTGGGCAAAGTACTTGAATGTGTTTGCCTATATGAAGGAAATTTCACAAATAATTTTAAGTAGCCAATTTAAAGTCGTTTTTTTTAATTTATTTTTTATTCTTTTAATTTTTTTTTGTGAGGAAGATCAGCCCTGAGCTAACATCCATGCTAATTCTCCTCTTTTTTTTGCTGAGGAAGACTGGCTCTGAGCTAACATCTATTGCCAATCCTCCTCCTTTTTTTTTTCCTCCCCAAAGCCTCAGTAGATAGTTGTATGTCATAGTTGCACATCCTTCTAGTTGCTGTACGTGGGACGCGGCCTCAGCATGGCTGGAGAAGCGGTGCGGCGGTGCACGCCTGGGATCCAAACCCGGGCCGCCAGTAGCAGAGCGCGGGCACTTAACCACTAAGCCACGGGGCCGGCCCCTAAGTAGCCAATTTAAACTTAACCAAAAAAAAAAATAGCTAACAAAAAAATATAACAAAAGGAAGGATGTTTTATTTTTCAGAAGGCAAAGAGGTCTGGCAACACTTGAAATGAATGTTTTTGCCAGGGTTATCCTAGGTACTGTCGCTTACTCAGAGGTCAGCTATGACTCTCTAGAGAAGGATGATTGGATAGAAAAAAGAGAACCAACTAAAATACAAGTAAAACCTCCAAGAGTTCACAGTCCATCTGGCACAAGTCCACAGTCCTGTGCAACAGTGCGATGGGACCGCATTAGCCAGGGAGTAATTGCCGTGGGATCTCAGAGAAGGGAGCCAGGACAAGGGGGAAGGAGGGGAAATATCACAGAAGCAGTCAAGTTTGAGCAGAGCTGTGGATGAGGAAGAGCATTCCTAACAGAGGAAGCAGCACAAGCTGATGGCGGCAGCAGGTGGGGGCGTGTGTGTTCAAGGAATGGTGCCTGGTGTGACTGGAGTGCAAGCTGACAGTGTGGGGTGACTGGTGGGGAGGCTAGAAGCTTCAGTTAGCATGGATTATAAAAGCGTCTAATACCAAACCAAGGAGCTTGAATGTCCTCTTTCGGGCAGTGAGGAGCCAGCAGTGGAGGGACATCTGCTCTGTGATTAGACCTCCAGGTGGCAGTGCAAGAGGGCCTCCTGGAGGTAGTGGGACTTCACTGTGGCTACTAAGAGAATGTAAATGTAACAAACGCAGACAGCGGAAAAGTGCACACAGAATTAGGGAGGTGGAAGGGGCACAGAGAGGCTGAAGGAAGGATGAGGTGCCTCCTTCAAATGGGGAGCTGGGATCAGCCTACTGTGTGCAAGTGATGGACTAGGAAGAAACACACAAGTTGTTCTGATTAAAAACAAGAGCAAGCAAGCAAAGATGGTTTCATCACCTTGTTTGCACTGTGTAAGGTGTCTGCCTGAGCTGGAAGATCAAAACTCACGCCGGCCTCCCCACTCCCAGGAAGGGTGGGCATACTTTCCAGACCCTGGATCCTCCCTGGTTCAGATGAAGGAAAAGCCAATTCTGGTGAAACAGGCTTCGTTGCAGAGATCTGGGGAGTCACTGCAGGCAGCAACGCTGCTGGGTTAATCGCTAAATTTGCCTAAAGAAGAAAAATGAAACTTACTCTATGTTTTCTTAAACACAGCAGGCTATTATTATTAGTATGACACAAGATGAGAGACTCAGTGTACATAACATATAATATGACAGGAGAAAGAAAAACGCAGGGAAATCTCCTGATCTAGTCTTAGAATTAAAATAGAGGATTATACACCTCTGCCCACCACTGGGGCCAAAGAAAAGATGTTACAGATGCAGCACGTAAGAAGCAACAACTGGAGGGTGGAGAAGAGATAAGAAAATGCCTGGCAGCAGCTGACAAAAGTAAAAATCAAAAAAAGTTTATAGATGCCACAAGGCAGGCAATGAAGATTCCAGACATGTTATAATTACTTGTATTTTCCAGATCCGAGGGGATGGCTCTTTGGTTTTAAATGGAGCGGGACCTGGTGAGTCCTGTGTGAAATTACATTCAGTTAAAAATCCATTGGGGAAATAGAAAGAAAAGTGTCTCTTGGATTACTCTTATGCTTATAAATAAATGTGTGGTGGAGCAAAGCTGTCACTTTCTATAATTCTATAATGGGAAAGGCATTCAAATCTCTCCTGGGGCCTCAAAAGATTTCACTAACATTACTTCACTTACACCTTCTCATCCATTGTGTAAGTGGAAGGCTGTCAGACTGTACATGGAGTAAAGGGAGACAGAAATCACGAATAACATTCCTAAGAATCGTAGTGTATCAGAGCACCAAAACCTGACTAGTTGGCAAAATTACCATGCTGGTTATCCCATACAGAAAATATTACGGAGCACACCCACAGCCTAACGCACTGGTTCTAGAAGCAAAAGCAGCTGAGACATGGGATGAGTTGCTGGAGATATGCTGGACCTGGTCCTAGTGCCTCGTTTTCACAGCTCAGGATAGTGAGGCCTCAGTGAGACATCCAGGGACAGCTGCAGGCCAGAACCAGAACTCACTCTCAAGTCCTGGCTGGTTCTCAGGAGGAGTTCCACAGAAAAGACTGCTCAGGACAGAGGCCTATCAGCAATGATCTCAGATGAGGTAAGAATTGGATGTAATTCATATTTAATTCGAATGTAATTCTACTCCAAGGTAGCCCAAATGGAGAAATGGGGGTTCTAGTGGAAAGAAGATTCTTCACCTTACCTTAACTCTATTTTAGAAATGAATCTAGAGGTACTCCCAAAATAATAATGGTAAGTATAGATTGATGGCACTGAATGTGGAAGGAGGTAGGACAGATGAGTGTGGGTTAAAAAAATATAGTGAAGAAAGAGGAAGTCCTAGTTGCTGCTGCTTCTTTAATTAAGAGAACTCTGAATACACTTGGGTCTGCATGATGGAGTTAACCTATACGGGGATGCAATCGAGAGCTGAAAGTCCTTAAAGAGATCAGTTCTAACCTGAGGTGTTTCCGATTTCCATATGCTCTTTTCTTTGATACTCTGAGTGGATTCAGGATGTTTCTGGTTCTTGAAAGCAGCAACCGAGTGATCTTTTTTCACTACCCTCTTCTTTTCTGGTATCTTCAAAAGAAAAAGAATACCAAAAGTCTGTCAAGTATCTTAGAAATTTTAAAGAAAAGTCATAATGCAAAAAACAGAATCTGGCTTCTGAGTTTTAAAAGTCATTTCTAAAATGAGAGTTGAACTAACTCAGAGGCAGCATTTCAGAGACAGCATTCTAAATAGACTGTCACTTTCTCAGGAGTCCTCTCTATGACCAAGACAATAGAGAGTACTTACAAAACCTACTGGGGCAGCGGGAAAAATGACACACACAGACTAACACTCAGATTTACAGTTTTGCACCTGAAAGGCATGAATATTTGGTCACCATATTACATGCACTGGTCTTTCAATCAACAACTTAAAAATCAAACACATTTGTCATACAGTAAGAGAGCTGGGGTTAGTTAATGCTTTAATGTTAGTTAGGAAACATAAGATGGAACCAACATGAATGCTGTCATCAGCACATTATTTGCCATTCATTTACTAATTAAGTATCACAATTCTCTGTGTACTTTCCTTAATCGTATAACTGGACATTATAATGTCCCTTCCCAGAAGCCTTTCCACACACCCCACTACTGAGAACAAAAGGCTGGTACCAAAGGCTGTGACTTGGCAGAGCTGAAAAGATCATCTTCTTCATCATCCCCAAACAGGCTCCCAACACTCGGCTCTAACAACTAAAATAGACAAAACTCAAATTCAATATCCAAAACAAAAGCCATTTATAAGGAGAGATAGGTGAGCTGCTGAGACAATATCTAACACAGTAACACAGCCGTGATATGGAGAACCATTTGGAACTGACCCTGGTTTTTTTGGTGCTGGAGAAAAGGTCAACATCTGGGTCATTGTCCTTCTGGAGCTTATGACTAAAAAGGAGCTCTTCATCCTGAAAGACACCTGTGCTCTTGGGGTGGGTATCAGCATCAGGACTCTGGGAAAAAGAGGGAAGTTCATGTGTGTTTAGACTTCTAAGGATTTATCTCAAGGAAATCACACACAGCTGCAAAGATGGAACAACACAGATATCCCCTGCAGCTCTATTTACAATAGCTAAAGGTTGCACACAGGTACTAAGTGCCAATCAGAAGGGAAACAACACATTCACATAATGGAATACCATGGAGCTACGAAAAACAGAGGAGAATATGTTTACACATACAGATAACATATACATAATCTAGAAAGACCATCTTTCAACCTTTGTGTAGTGTCCGAACTTTTTATTTAAAAAACAATCCATTAGTTCCTTAATGAGAAACATTTTAGGGGTGAAAACACACAAAACTAAACAAGTTCTCTCCATCTCATTCCCAAAGGGAAGAAGAGACAGCAGCTGACTTAAGACCAGAAACTACACAGAGTGGTCAGCATGTGTCCCTAACCTGGTGGCATCTTAGTCCAAAGACCTGGCACAGGTGTAACCAGCCAACCTTTCTCTATGCTCATCCACCTTCTATCCCTCTACCTTCCAATTCCAAATGAGTTCTTTTTGTTTGCTAAGATATCTAACATCTGAAAGCTACTATTCACATTACTTGGTTTGATACTATAACGCCACAGACTTGACAGTGTAAAATTCTCCCCTATTTCTTCTTTAGTATCACAACCACAGATTAAAACCCAAAACTCATTTCTGACAAAATGTGTCACATTAAAAATTAATAATTATTGTGATTGATTATACATAAAAACCAGTGTAACATAGCAACTAAGGTTAAAAGTTTCACAATCATGAAAATCACAGTACAAAATTATATACAGCTAAGAGACTGGAAGAAAATACAGCAAATTATTCATATTCACTGTGTGTAGCTCTCATTTATAAACAGGATTATACTACTGGTATAATAAAATTTTTAAAACATTTTTTGTAGAAATCAACATGGATTATATCATCAGTTTGACTTACAAAAAGCATTGGCAATCTACGGCTTGCCACCTTTTTTTTTGTTTTAACATCTCTATTGAGATTAAATTCACGTACCATAAAATTCACCTATTTAAAGTATGTAATTCAATTATTTTTAGTATATTCACAGAATTATGCAAACACCACCACAATCTAAATTTAGAACATTCTCATCACCCGAAAGAGAAACCCCAAACCTATTAGCAGTCACCCTCAATTTCTGTCTACTCCTTTCCCCCAGACCCAGGCAATCACTCATCTACTTTTTATCTCTATAGATTTGCCTATTCAGGACATTTCAAATAAATGGAATCACACAATATGTGGCCTTTTGTCACTGGCTTCTTTCATTCAGCATACTTTCAAGGTTCATCCATGTTGTAGCATGTATCAGTAATTCATTCTTTTTATTGCCAAAAAATATTCCATCGTATGCACATACTACATTGTGTTTATCCATTAATCAGCTGACGGACATCTGAGTTGTTCCCATCTTTTGACTATCATGTATAATGCTGTTGGGAACACTACATTCAAGTTTTTGTGTGAACATGTTTTCATTTCTCTTGGATATGTTCCTAGGTGGGGAACTGCTAGGTCATGTGGTAACTCTTACGTTTAATAATTTGAAGAACCACCAAATTGTTTTCTGAAGTGGCTGCACCATTTTCTATTCCCAATAGCAATGAATGAGGGTTCCAGTTTCTCTACATCCTCACCAACACTTGGCTATTACTAAAAAAGTCAACAATAAGTGTTGGTGAAGATGTGGAGAAAATGGAACCCTCAGTTCTTCAGCAACTCACATAACAGAACTGACACCATGAAATGAGGTTTTTTTATCCTTCGAAGGACTTCAAGCTTTATTGCTTTTTGCTCACCTTTCCTATTTCTTTCTTTGGAGCTTGACTGCTGCTTTGATCTTCTGTTTTATCCTCTTCCTCATCAAATAAGCTAAGAACAGTTTTGGTTCTACTTTTGGTTCCTTTATCCAATGGGGATGATGAAGAAGATAAATCAGAATGCTTGACAGCTTCCTGAGTAGATATGGTCAGAGGTCCTTCCTGAAAATGGAAATAAGGGAGAAAATAAGTAACACCTAGAAATACAAATTCTACTGTGGAGCCTCCCAAGCTCCTCATTAATTCAATAACTGCCACATTCGCATGTTTCAGGACACTACAGCTAATCACACTTACTTCCAGGTAACAAAATACTGAGGTCAATTCTTGATTGGCTGCTCCAACGGAGAGTCTTGTACAGATAATTCATAGCCAAAGATAATTTTTCCAATCAGTTTAAAGCCACGGGTCCCTCCTTCCCACCGAGAGATACATACGTCAGTTATAACCCTGATCCACGTAGGCTGCTCATGAGCTATAAATAATGTCTAAGTCAAAGAGGTAACACAAATGCCAATCATTGGGAGTGTATCATATATTTCCTAGTGTTTAACTAACACATAATTCCCAAGGAGAAACCTCACTAACAAAATCAGACACATAAATTGTAGAAGGCTTACACTGTATTATGCAACTAGAAGAATCTCTAAAATAATCCTAAAATGCACCATTTATTCATTCAACAAGTACCACATTTCAGGTAAGATGCCTTGATTATAAGAACCACTATTACTGTATGAACCACCAAGAAAGAAAAAAAAAACTCCCAATTAAACATGCCATTGACTGCAATATGCATCCTAATTTCAGAGTGGTTAAACCGTGAAAAAATGTGCTTCTTTGAAGAAATATGTAATTTTCAAAGTGCCTACTATGTGCAAGGTAATATGCTAAGTACTATAGATACACTGGTGAGCAAAACAAACCTGGCCCCCATCCTCGAGGAGCTTAGACTCAAGCCAAGGGAGACGGCAGTACAACAAGAAGTTAGAGTTCAAGTGTGGACTGGGCTATGACTGGGGTAACTACAGGAACACGGAAAAGGTCCACATGAAAACTGCAGGATGAGAATGTCACACAGTGACTCAGGTACAAACAAAATGTTTGTATCAGTGCAGCCCCACGGACCTCAACAGGAAAGGACATGCGACGTTCTTCACACAGGCCCTAGAAAAGAGACTGAACCTAAGGAGCTGAACACACAGAAGACAAGAAAAGTTAGAAAATAAGAAAAGGTATACAGAGACGGAAGGCAATCACTGATTCCCAGACGCAGCAGCAGCCTTATCCACAGGCCCCCTGCAGGAGAGGACAGACAGACTGCCCAAGAGAAGGAAGTTAATGTTTTAGAAGAAAGACAAATTTCACTTTACTCTGTAATTCACAGCCAAGATAACTAAATATAAAAGAATGGTAAACTAAAATCTCCTTAAAACTGTCATTTTAATTCAAGGGCAGGTGGGGACTAAGAAAGAACCCGGGGTAACAAACGCTACAGAGAAGAGAACAAGTCAGAAAGAGCAGCCATGCAGAGAGAAAACCAAAATGATAAAAAAGATGTGGAAGAACAACCTGGAGAGAGAAAGGCAAAACGACATCAACACAAAACGACAATAATAATGTGAAACAGGGAAACGCACATCACTGTGTGTGCACATATGCACCTGGAAAAGGGACCGAAAGGCAAGATGTTGAAGGGTTCCCTGAATGATCGGATCACAGATTTCCTTCTGTATAATTTTCAGTGTTTTCAAAATTTTCAACGAATGAGCCATTTATTTTCTGTGGTAGAAAAATGTAAGGGTGTGTGTGTGTGTGTGTGTGTGCCCGTGTGGGTTTTACAAGAATGTACGAGAGACAAGTTTATCAGAATATACAACGAAAAAAAGTCCACCTTTTCTGACTTCTCAACCACATGAGTTCTCCCAAATTCTGATGGTTCTTTGGCACTCTCAACCTTCTTATCCACAGGTTTCACTCCAAATTGTGCCTCCTTCTCTTCTTCATCGCTGAACAGCAAAGGTGGTACCTCAGGGACGGTCTCTTTTTTCTGCCAAAAGAAGAGTAAATGACATCCTTAAAAACAAGCAGTGTGCCTGACTAGCATGGCAACATATGAACAAGGTGAAACCACAGTCCTCTTTAGGGCATTAGCTAAATCTTGTGGTGGGAGATACAGGACAGGATAGTGAAGGGGGCACAAACAGGGAGAAGCAATAGACACTGCTACCTCAGACTTGCAGACACGGCACTTTCCAGTTTCTACCACCATATCGTTTGCATCTGTCTCTTTGCATCTGCTAACTTCACAGACACTGCCATCGCTTAGATCCGTACCTCTGCCACCCAGACAACTACTAGTCTCTCTTCTCTGCCTCCCTCCTCTTATGTTTCAGCCACACGACATCATCCAGAGCTTTCTTGCTAAAATAAAATACTCACCAGATTAGTTCATCTCCCACCCCAAACTTGCACTATTGGCACTAGGCAAAGGCTAAACATGATAATCAACCAAGACCACCTTATTCATCTGCACCTCATCAATCCTTACCATTCCTTAAACCTACTGTAAACTTTCACACTTCCATGTTTACTCCTAGTGTGTCTAAGAGCACATCCTCATCTTTCAAGCAAAGCCCAGCTCAGATGTCGCCCATGAAGGCTTTCCTGTTCTCTTCACTAAGTATCAGCTGCTTTGCTGATGAGAATATCATTTCTATCTCTACCTAGCCCTTACTTTACTTTCTCCCTAATTTCCATTAACAGCTATCACACATCTGTTTGTCCTTTCATTTGAAAGGATCATATAGTACATTTCCATAGCCAGTCATAGTGTTTTACACCAAGTAGGCAGTTAACACAAGTTTGCGGGCACTCTGCCCCTCTCTCATCTGTTCCTTACCTGAGAGGCAGGGATTTCAGAGATTAGGACACTGAGATTACGTGAGTTGTCTAGAGTTATTGACATCCTTGGATCAAGTGACTTACCAAAAATTCTTCAGAAGGAACTATTAACCCTATCAAACTAACTGGACTAGATGATATGAGGAAGTAAGCTTGGAAACAATATCTAAATCAAGGTAGGAAGACAGATTTGGGAAAGTAAAGAAGAATATTACTAACAATGATAGAAAAAATTAGGAATGAAGTAAGAAGAATAGGGTAGAGAGACTTTTAGTTATTGTTAGGAGAGGTCCTTAAAATGCATAATGATTTGAACTTGAAATAAAAAGACTGGAAACCCACCAAAGAGATTCAGTAGAAATAAGGCAGAACTGAAGTGATTAAAAGAGAATACTTTTGTGGAATATGCTGGACTCACTAAAAATTACATATAATTTCGATGCAACTTGATCACGGCAAAAAATGAGACTTAAGTATGGCAAAATATATTCTCCCTTCATATGACTGAGGTCCTTAAACCAAGGCAACTGTCACCCAAACTACTGGTTCTAAATCTTCCTCAAGATAAAAGTCTAAAGATAAGCAGACTCTCCTTCATCACAAAATTAATTTTCTTAATAGGTTTACAAGTGAGTCATATTTAACTTCCTTTAAAATATTCTAGGATCTTTTTTTTTTTTTTTTGTGAGGAGATCAGCCCTGTGCTAACATCCGCCAATCCTCCTCTTTTTTTGCTGAGGAAGACGGCCCTGGGCTAACATCTGTGCCCATCTTCCTCCACTTTATATGGGACGCCGCCACAGCATGGCTTGCCAAGCGGTGTGTCGGTGCGTGCCCGGGATCCGAACCAGCGAACCCCGGGCCGCCGCAGCGGATCGCGCGCACACAACCGCTTGCGCCACCGGGCCGGCCCCTATTCTAGGATCTTTAAACGAAAAATATTTTTTATATCTGTTGTCTGAAGGTGATTATATTTCACATATAGCAAAAATCATACATGCAGGTTGTTCTTCTACTTAACATGTGCATCTTTGACCTTTTTCTCTTATTTAGCAATCATAATTATTACAGGTTGAAAGACGTTTTACATTTCCAGAACCTTCAAAATTCATTAGATTATTGCCCATTTACCCAAGGTAGAAGTTATTATTTATAATTTACAAAAGAAAAGCCACTCAGATCTCCTGACTCTTTTACCCATGGAGCCTCTAGATGTCCTCTTTAAGGAGATGCAAGTACAGGTGATTCAAAGAAAGGATTATGAGCACCTCAGAAGCAGCAGCAAGGAGACCCAGAACCCAGGGAAGGCAGCATGCTCCCCCACTGCAGAAAGCTTCTAGCACAAGCTGTGCACCCCACTTAATGCGAATGGGGTAAGGAAGGAGTCCCTAAATCATTAACTGGCTTGTGCCTGGTCTGGGAAGCTTTCGTAGGACAAGTTAACATTTGTACTATGTCTGAAAGTATGAAGAATATTTCCAAAGACACAACAACCTCCTCTGGAGTATTCTGGGACAAGATGAGTCACATGGCAAGTGAGGGTGGAAAAGAAGAGTCCACATGGTAAGCTCAGCTAAGGCATTTTGACAAGGGGATGACAGGACTGGGTTGTCTTTAAGAAGAGAACTAGGGCAACAGCAAGGAGAGCAGATGAAGGCAAGGAGCATTCACAGAGAGGCCAGATAAGAAATTATCTCAATAATCAAGGCTAAAAATGATAAGGCAGTAGGGATGGGAAGAAACCTCTCTCACAAACTGGCAGGAACAGTGATGATTACTCCATCAAAAGAGTAATAGTCATATATGTCACACACTGTGGAATACTATACAGGGGTGAAAAAGAGCAAGGTGGAGCTTATGGAAATGAAAAGCATGTTGCAGAACAAAAAGTATGCATAAAAATGTATAAAATGATTTTATTCAAATAAAAAAAATACATGTGAATGCCTAGAAACAGGCCTGAAAGGACTGAGAACACATAGCCAATAATGATTACATCTAGGGAGGAGCACGGAATGGGGACTTTGTATTTGCTAAGCATTTCTTAAACCTTTTTAAAGAAGGCATCCACGTATTACTGTGTAATTTAAAATAAACTTTAAACAAAAAATATTTAAGAGGTTTGGAAGGGGAACCAAGTATCAGCCTCTAGAAAAGAGGAAGATCCAGGCTCCTTTATTGCTCCTTTACTCCTTCACTATACCCCCCAAAGAGAAGCAATGTCCCAGGGATGTGCAGGCATCAGGGATCTGGTCACCCATCACCATGGTGGGAGGGGCAGGGTCTTCTTCCTCAAGCCCGGGGGGAGGAGCTGCCATTTTGCATTCTGTGGCTGCTCCCACATAGGAGGAGTCCTGGGGGGGTCATCCCTTCTTCCCTGTCTTGCATATCTTTCTGCCTCTAACACATGCCAAACTGGAGTGGTCTGCCGTTGGGGCTGAAGGCCCTCACAGCAGGTTGCAAGTTGGCTTGATTCTTAGCCTTTCAGGCTAACTTAGCTCAGGTAAAGGAGATCTCCATGGGGTCTAGCCTCAGAAGTTCTACATCTCGCTCTGGGACTGTCAGCAATTGCCAGTTGGCAATAAAATACTACTTGGCCTCACTTTTCTATGTGCACATATTCACATATACGCACTCAGGGAATGTGCTGGGGAGGGATGAATGACAGGCCAAAAACAGGATCCCAGCATGCCTAGGTTCCCTGGACAAATATTACATAACGCCATTCTCCTCTCATTCTTTAATATTCCTTCTTCATCTAACATCAAGATTGGCTAAATTTTTTAACTTAGATGACTGTGGTAGTGACACCATTTAGACGTAATCACTTGAAGGGCATTTAGACCAGGGAGTCACTGATGGGCTAATTTTATCACATACTTTAATTTTTAAAAAATTTTTAACTGTATTAAAATACACAACATAAAATTTACCATTTTAACCATTTCTAAGTGTATAGTTCAATGGTGTTAAGAATATTCATTGTAGGGGCCGGCCAGGCGGTGCAGCGGTTAAGTGCGCGTGCTCACGCTTCGACGGCCCGGGGTTTGCAGGTTCGGATCCCAGGCACGCACCAATGCACCGCTTGTCAAGCCATGCTGTGGCGGCGTCCCATATAAAGCAGAGGAAGATGGGCACGGACGTTAGCTCAGGGCCAATCACCCTCAGCAAAAAGAGGAGGATAGGCTTCGGATGTTAGCTCAGGGTTAGGCTTCCTCACAAAAAACAAAACAAAGGAATATTCACTTTTGTGCAACCAATCTCCATAATTTTTTCATCTTGTAAAACTGAAACTGTACCCATTAAACAACTCCCCATTTCCCCCTCCACCCCCAGCCTCTGACAACCACCATTCTACTGTCTCTATGAATTTGACTACTCCACGTACCTCAAGTAAGTGAAATCATATAGTATTTGTCCTTTTGTATCTGGCTTATTTCACTCAGTATAATGTCCTCAAGGTTCATTCGTGTTGTAGCCTGTGTCAGAACTTCCTTCCTTTTTACTGACTGGCCATTAATATAAACCAGCACCAAAGTATTAGTATTTGAAACATGCTCCTAAAAGGAATAATTTGTGCTTTAAATGACCTGGTCAAATGTTAGAAGAATTCCATGCCACTGGGCTAAGCCTGGCAATTCCTCCAGGAGAACTGCGCTCTCCCTGAGACTCCGGAGACCTACGCCTGACAGTGAATGGGCTGCATGACATGGAGGAGTCCTTTTATCCAGGCTTTGCACATGTGCCTCATCTGTAAAATACCACTAACCAGAAGTTCTCTATCTAAAACTAGGCAAACGAGTTTTTCCACGAGACTCAGCCTCCAAGATCGGGTTTTAGGAGCTAATTCAGGGAAGGATCACCACTCATGTAACATCACCTCAAAGGATATTTACTGGGCCTAAGGAGTTAAGAATACCGTTGTTGCAGGAGGAACAGACGTGGGAGGAGAGCCAAAGAGAGAGCTTCCACTATCAACATCATCTTCAAAGAGGAGTGACACTCTCTGGGTCTTCTTTTGGCTATACAAACAAACAAAAGGTCAAATTAAGGGTAAATGTGATTAAAAAGAAACATAACATTCTTTCTAGGTCATACCTGTAGTAACCCACCCACTAGGAAAATGCCCGAGCCACCTGTTGACTTTACACAGTTACACCTTGTTTTCTTAAAACAAGAAAAACCTTTGAAGGAGGTGCAATTTGTGTCTAGCAAATCCCCAGCTTTGCCCCTCACCCTTACATGGAAGAGTCCGGGGCCCTCCTCATCTTGAACCTTTCCAGTGACTTCACATTCAGTGTAGGTGTACAGCTGTTAGCTGTGCCAAGGCACACAACACTCTTAGCATTCACAAATGCAGCATCCTCTATCACTACTTCCTACGGCAGAGGAAGAACCAGAGAGCACGGATGCCTTTTCCAGAATGGTCAGGAAGGCAACTGTCAAGAGATCACAGGACCAGGGCCTGCTTCAGGCTGTGACCTGTGGCCTGGTGCCTCCTTGGCCACCTAAACCCTGTCTTTCCAGGCACCTCTGTGCCCTTCCATGCCTTCTCTTCAAACCCCAAACCCATCCCATTCCACCCCCTCCACACAAAGTCTCTAACAACCTGGAGAAAGCAGAGCTCATTTTCACTGTTCACCACATCACCATTCACCCATCTCCTCCCCCATGGTGGGCAACCACAGCCAAAATGCAGCCACAGCTCTCCTCACCCGCCTCTAGCCTGTCTTCACCCACCTCCTCACCGAGGATTCTGCCCTGGCCCCTAAAGAGAAAGCGGTCAATAAATGTCTGCCAGAACAAATATTGATCAGGACCTTTTAAGTAACAGAAATAAGAAAGTGGAGAAACACAGGGAGGCTCAGCACTGGGCATGGGGAGTCCGGAATAGAAACTGTTCCAGCTACTGCAGGGTCAAGTTCTGGCTTTTACTACATAATAAGGAATCATCCAACTAGCACACGAGGGAATTATCAAAGTAATGAAAACTTTAAACTCAATTTTACCTAGATAAAAATAATACTAATAAGTCATTTCAGTAAACTGCTCACCATATCCATATACTTACATTAGAACATAACTGACATATACATCAGTTAAGTATATGTATCACAATCTTTTTTGTAAGTTTAATTATTAACAAGGCACTATCTACGTAGCTTACTCATTAGTTTCATATCGATGTCTGCTTACATCTTAAAAAAACAACTTAAGGATTACTGACTAGAGAACACAACTAACCAAGCAGTTGAGTGCACTTACACTGGACACATACATACACTAAAGGACAGTTAAGAATTAAGTCTACACCTTGAAGAAGTTATAAAAGCAGAGAGCCAATTCATAATGACACAGTAAGGTAATATACAATATGCCTTTAGGGATATATACCAATAAAAATTTACACAAATTGTAACCAAAATATCTGACTACTAGGTGATGAATGATCACAAAGTATTAAGAAAATAACTAGGGGCCGGCCCCGTGGCTTATCGGTTAAGTGCACGCGCTCCGCTACTGGCGGCCCGGGGTTCGGATCCCAGGCGCGAACAGATGCACCGCTTCTCCGGCCATGCTGAGGCGGCATCCCACATACAGCAACTAGAAGGATGTGCAACTATGACATACAACTATCTACTGGGGCTTTTGGGAGAAAAAAAAAAAAAGGAGGAGGATTGGCAATAGATGTTAGCTCAGGGCCGGTCTTTCTCAGCAAAAAGAGGAGGATTGGCATGGATGTTAGCTCAGGGCTGATCTTCGTCACAAAAAAAAGAAAAAAAGAAAAAGAAAAGAACTATATCAGATGCCTAAAGAATACCAGAAACCTCATTAAGCAGCTACAGCAGGAGAAAATCTAAGCATAATTTTCTGAACAGGTAATTAAAAAATGAACAAAAATACAAACCAACCCACAAAAAACATCTGCTGACAGATTCTGAAGGTAAGCTAGAGAAAAGCTAGTTCGCTCTCTGGACACAGCCACAACAGAAAATGACGGAAACCTTAACCTTGGCCCTCGTTTCACACTGCTGCTCGTTAAATCCTCCCAGGGAGATCTGTCCTCAGAAGAACATAAGCTGCCCAGCGAGCTGGAGTACTTCTCATTATAAGTTATAGGCTAAGCATTTTGATTTATTTAAAAGGTACAGGCATCAGAAAACATTAAGATGACCATAGAGTTTATGGCCTAAACCAGGACACTTCTGAGAATGAAAGGGAGAATTGTTAATAAACATGCTGGAGTGTCAGGCACCACCCGGGCCGTCCAGCCAAGCCAGGACGTTTGAGTGCCCTGCTTACGAGGCAGTGTTTCACAACTTCGCTAGGGTCACAAAGCTGCTTTCTTTTCTCAGAGCGGTACTGAGATACAATTTATACATCATAAAATTTATAGTGTACAATTTGCTGGTTTTTAGGATGTTCACAGAGTTATGCACCTATCATCATAATCTAAGTTAACAATACTTCCATCAACCCAAAATGAACCTCTATACCTGTTAACAGCCACTCCCAATTCTCCTTTCCCCTCAGCCCCAGGTGAACACTAATTTACTTTCTGTTTCTATGGATTTATCTATTCTGGCCATAATATACAAATGGAACACACACGTGATCTTCTGTGACTGGCTTCTTTCAATTAGCACAATATTTTCAAGGTTCATCCACATTATAGCATATATCACTACTTTATTCTTTCTTATTGCTGAATAACAGTCCATCGTGTGGATATACCACATTTTGTTTATCCTTTCATCAGCTGATGGACTTTTGGGTTGTTTCTATTTTTGGCTATTAACGAATAATGCTACAATGAACATTCACATGCAGGTTTTTGTGTGGACATGTTTTATTTCTCTTAAGCATAAACCTACAAGTGAAATTAAGTCATACGGTGACTCCACATTTAACATTTTATAAGGAACTGCTAGACTGTTTTACAAAGTCGCTGCAGCATTTTACATTCCCACCAGCAATGTCTGAGGGTTCCAATTCCCCTACACCCTCTCCTACACTTGTTATTGTCTGTAAAAGCTTTTTTTGATAATCTGATGAAAGCTATAAATTATTTCCTCAGACAAATGCCCATACACAAAATTTTATAGACAATTTCAAGACCAACTGGAGATGGAATGAGTCTAGAGCAGGGAAAACCTTACTGAAAACTAGGTATTGCGTGCAGTTGGTACTGGGACCTACACATAAGACATGTTTCCGAATCTCTAAACCTGTGACCATGTTGGCGTGGTGGGGGCAAAGAGAGGGGTGCACGTGTAAACAGATAATTTCTATACAACGCGGAAAATGCTGGAGTGCAACAGAGCCACAGAAGAGGGGCATATAGAGATGGAGCCATTTTTGCTCTAGACTCTGACCCTATTTCCAATCTCTCTCATCTGTTTGGGTTAGGGAAGGCTTCTTAAAACAGAGGACCTAGAGTGAGTTTTGAAAGAAGCTGGTCAGGTAAGAAAGGAAGAAAAGCATCCCAGGAGAGAGCGAGAAATAAAAATGAATGAAGGAAATGTTATTTCTCCTGCACCTGTGATGATAAACGGTAACATTTACCGTTACATTTAGGTGCTTACAACGTAACAGCTATTGTGCTAAGCATTTCACATTTGGATTTCATTTAATCCTCTCAATGATTGTATGAAAGAAGTCCTAATATTATTTTTGTTTAACAGACGGGGAAACTCAGGCCCAGAGAGCTTAAGTAACTTGCCCAAGGTTATTCAGAGAAGAACTGGCAGGGCCAGAATTTATTATCAGGCATTGGGATTCCAGAGCCTATATTCTTAACCAGAAGCCAAAGATACATCTGCTGAAGTAACAGGGTCCTAAAGTAGAAATGATGACATTTGAAGAGATCACAACATTGGGAAACAGAAATATGAGGTACTTTTTAATCTATCAGACCAAAATTAAAGCTTAACCACACCAACGCATAGGATTTACATGTCTAATCAACCGCCTCTTGATGCTACTACCATTTAGTTGAATTTCAATTTAAGACTCTCTAGAGGAAAACATTTGCTGAGAAGTTACTTGAATCCACAGCTAATGTGGCAGCACATTACAACACCAACCACAGCCCACGTTCACTCTACATATCCTGCCGGCTTTAGTCCAAGTATTATCAATGTGCAGGACCACCTAGGTGAGCTAAGGGTTACCAGCAACTGTGTGATACAGCACAGTTCTGTAGAGAACCACCCTCCTAACAGGATATTTTTCAATGCTAAGCAGACTTCTATCCAAAGGACAAACTTAAGTCACTGACCTTGACCAAACTTTACCTTCCTTAGGGTACCCCAGAGGAAAGACAAAAAAGACAACAAACTCTACTTCAACGCCTAACAAAGAAAAACAATACTTTAAGATTTAAAAAAAAAAAGGTAGAAGAAATTAGGTAGGGATCCACAAAGAAAACCATTTCCCAGTATTGGAAGAGAATACCTTGCAAGCGGAAATCAAAGACATTCTCATTTGTGTGACTACTAGGTCATGAATGATTAGCATGTCACCTCCAGTAACTGACATCTCACACATCAAATACCTTTACTTGTTACCACAGACACCGACTGAATGATTTCTTACAATGACTGTCTCACCTGTCCTTGGCAATAGCAAACAGATCATCTTCATCGTCCTCCTCAAAGAGGCTGGTCTTTTTCACAGCCTTGGCGTCCTGGTCCTGGGTGGTCCCAGAGTCCCTAAGTTCTCCTTTAGACCTCCTGTCAGATGCTGAGTTGGTCTGTGAATCAGTAATATCCCACTGGTCCTTAAAATATAAAATACATATTAAAATCCAGTGGCAATTTAGATTAAGGAACCTGAGAAGTAAAATAAAGTTTACATTCGTTAAACTAAGTTGTATTTAAAGTAAGTGTATCACTCTTGAAGAAAGCTCATGTCCAAGGCATTTCTTTGAATTCAGATCTAGACAGCTGGGTTCTTTGACCTCACAGACCTTCTCATGACTTCCTCCTCCACTGCCCGCCACGATGTTTCTCCTCTCTATGGTTCTGCTCTGTGTTAGGACAAAGGAACTCGTCTACTTTAGAGGATCAAAATTAATCAGAGAGGAGGATGAGAAGGAAGAGGAATGTTTTTAAAAATATCAAGTACTCTCAACTTTGGAGGAAAACAATATTTTAATTTAAAAATCCCAAAGCAAGCTGGGAAAAAATGTATAAAAACCTCATGCAATGCACATGTAAACAAGGCACAATGAAAGCTGCTAGCGACCCTTTTACACAAGTCTGACACGTCTTTAGAAAGCATTTAAGGAAACCCCACGTAGCTATGCTCACCCTTTCAAATCAAGGAGCTCCTGAGCCCTTGCTTAAGTGGTCCTTTGGTCTCTAGAGTCTAGAGCTTCGCACACCGAAGTGGGGTCCACAAGCAGCAGCATCTGTTATGCAAAATCTCAGGTTCTACCCCAGACTTTTTGAATCAGAATCTGCATTCGTAACAGGACACCCAGGTGATCTCGTCACACGTTATGGTTTAAGAGGTGCTCCTCTAGAGCAGCGACACTCAACAATGACTACACACTAGAATTCCCAAAAGAACTTTAGAAAATTCCAGTGACAGGCCATACCCCAAACCAATTAATTCACACCCTCCAGCGGTGGAATCTGGTATCAGTACTCTTTAAAGTTCTCCAGGTGATTCCAATGGGCAGCCGAGGTTGAGAGTCACTGTTCTAGAACCCTAAGTTATCTGTACTCTGCACGTACTGTTGCTCCTAGCTTTGGCTAATATTTTTATTTTCCCTGAACTACTATAATACTATGGCAGGAAAAATTCCACTGTTGGTTGGCCATTACTACAGGGAGAACAACAACTAACAATGCTAAAAAAAAAAAAAACAGAAAAAGGGGGGAAATCCATCATAACTTTATATTTGAGTAGAAAAACAAATTATGTTGTGTAATTTTAAGCTACCATCAATAAAAAACATTAACATACCTACAATTTATCTACCCATGTCATACCCTCATAACTTACCTACAATGTTAAAATAAAGAAGAGCAATTATAATAATACAGGAACATTTTAATTCTTATGATTTTTAATTTCATTATATTTAAAGTCTTTTTCTGTACAGCTAAATCTGAACAGCAGCTACACTATATTCACTACTGCCTTGTCATATGTATCTAGATAGCAAATGCATATATTGTTAAGACTCCCATAAAAAAGGAGTTAAACATGCACAGGATGCTCCTACCATGTCTAGCTATAGTTCTTGATTAGTGAAACACAGTGATCATTTAACAAGAAAATAATGCCTAACTCATTTGAATTAGCATATATTACAATTTGAGGGCCATACTTATTTTATTCCTAACCATTTTGAAAAGATTAATCTTTAAGTTAATATATCACACTAAATATCTTTCTTCAAGAAAAGAAAGATAGTCTTGTGAACATAGACTTTGGTGCCTGAACCAAAGGTAGAGACAGATATAAAGTAGGTAGACAAAGAAATAGGTGGAGAAAGAAAATGTTTAGGACAGCCGTAACTCTTAAATCCGATCCAACAATTGACTCTTCTCTAGGAGAAACCTACCTCCTCATCACTGCTGAACAACAACGTAGAGGCTTTCTTTTTGGACGGCTGAGAGGGTTTTGCTTTCTCTTGGCTCTGAGTCAGTAGAGATGATGTCTGCTTCTTAGCAGCTGTAGCCCCAAAAAGATTATCCTAGGAAACAAATGGCAGAAGAGTATGACAACTTCATACATATAAAACAAAAAACTGAAGACATTCTCTCACGTCAAATTATTACAGAATAGTCTCTAGTCAGGTACAGAATATATATAACACCTTTGGGGGGAAAAAACCCACATGCCAGTAAATTCCACTTCTCTCTTATTTATAACCCTACAACAACAGTCTATAATCTTCTCTAACTGTATTGTCCATCCAGAGAAGGGAAACAGATACCACGGAACTCAGAACTCGAAGGCGGAACACTTGAGAGGGAGCAGGAGGGGGATAAGTGAGGACAAGGTCACAGAAATAGGAGGAAACCTGGCCCCACCCAGTCCTCCTGTGAGCTAGGCCTCTGTGCCCATTAAAAAGGGTAGACAGCCTGCAATCAGCATGAGCAATTGCGTGACAGCAGTTCAGCCCCCTGCAGCAGCCAGCAACTTGCATCTTTCTTTTTATGAATTAGAAACTGGAGCAATGGATTAAAGAAGGGAAACAGGGAGCGTTCTCCACTCTCTTACCGTTATAAAAGACACACACTTGGGACAAAGGGAAGGAACGACTTCTGTTTCTGGTTAATTTTAAAGAGAAAATACAGGGGCTGGCCCGGTGGCATAGTGGTTAAGTTTACACACTCCACTTTGGTGGCCCGGGGTTCGCGGGTTCAGGTTCCGGGCGTGGACCGACACATGGCTTGCCAAGCCATGCTGTGGCGGTGTCCCATATAAAGTAGAGGAAGATGGGCACGGATGTTAGCCCAGGGCCAATCTTCCTCAGCGAAAAGAAGAGGACTGGCAACAGATGTTAGCTCAGGGCTAATCTTCCTCACAAAAAAAAAAGAGAGAGAGAGACAATACAAACTTAATAGTTCACTAAATAAAATCAATGGCTACTAAAGAGCTGATTCTTATAGATTCAACGGCATTTGTAAATTTTTGTGTAGTCAAGCCCTCCAGAAGTACCTATTAAGGTACTTTCATTAAGGTAAGAGGAACAAAATCATCAGAAGGCCTGAGCCCAACTTAGACAGAAAAACACTTTTAACAATATACTAGAGCAGGAGAACAGTCCTGATACGTAAAGATTTGATAAAGGAGCCTTTACAGAGAACGTGGGAAGGTAGAAAAACCTATGATAACAATAATACTAAATACTAAATAACGATACTAATAATGGGGATACTAAAGACTCACATTTACTATGCACTACGTGCCAAGCACTGTGCCAAGAGCTGTACATTAGTTGTTTCAGCTGTCACAATGACCCTAAATATTATTGAGCCATCTGAGATTCAGAAAGGTTAAGCTACTTGCCCAAGGTCCCTGAATGTAAGTAGTGGAGCTGGGACATGAATGCAGGAGGCTGATGCCAAAGCCCATGAGCATGGGCACTGTGCAGCACGGCATAAGTGTTAAGGCTTGATTTGTCTTTCCTCTTACTCCTTTCCTCCACTTTGCCCTCTCATCCAAGATGCCCTCTCATCCAAGGGAAGGAAGGGAAGGTGAGACATGGCTGCCTTCTCCTCTCCACTCCCACTTTATCCAAGACATTCTTGTAGATCACTGGTTATAACAAAGATCCACCCTCTAAAAAGTATTTCTTAAAGGGATATTTTTAAAATGAAGTCTACAAAGCCTTCCATAAGAGCTGGGTCAAGAATCTAATGTCCTGCTCATTGTACAGCTAAGAGAATTGTACAGCTAAGAGAACTTAAGAAAGGAGTCACTGAAATAAAAACCAAAATATTTTTGTTATATAGCCTCAGATAGTTCGACTGCTTCCCTATCACATCGTTCTATGTATGAGCCTCTGACTACAAAGCTACATCAGCAATGGTTTTCTCCTAATTGAAAACTTGATTATCTCGTGTTAGAGTAACAATGGTTACCTCTTCATCTTCATCATCGAAAAGTGAAAGTGACGTGGGGAGTTTGCTAGGCTGGAGAGATGCATCTTTTGGCTTACTCACGTTTTGAGAAGAAAACAAATCCTGTTGGATCAAGATTAAAGTTCCTGGTTAACAATACATATCAGTTTTTAAAGTATGAGTTAGATATAAGACAGTAAAGACTATGACATGATAGCTGCCATGCGTCTAGGTCTCTTTGTCAGAGGGAAGCTGGCTGAGACGGTCCTTGAGAAACACACATCCGAGTTTGTCCTGGCTGTGTACAGCACAAACCCCTGAGCGCGAGAAGGAAGAGAACCCATGGAACTCCAGGTGGCCTCACTGGAACCCAGAGGTTCCTGCACTCCCACTTGGATGACTTCAGGCAGGGGGAAATTTTCCAATCAATCTCCTATCATGCTAAAAAAATAAGAACGACTTCCTTTTTTTGTCCAAAGATTCAGAGAGATTAAATAGATTCAATAATGAAAATAGAGGCTAGATTCCTGAATTATTGGATCTACGACTGTTTTATTTAGTAACACTCCTCTCTCCTCTTATAAGAGTATGCTATTATTTCTTTTAAATAAATATAAATTCAATTTTTATTTTAAAATGTTTGGTATTCTACTTGAACTACAGCTAGGAGATGCTGCAAACTAGAGAAAGATCTGGTAGACTCCGAAGAAATTTTTAAAATGCTATCCAATGTCAGCCTACAATGCAAAGAAAGATCTGCAAATTGAGCTGCATGAATCAGAAACATAAACTAGGACAACTATTCCCTTGGGAAGAGAAACTTCAATACAGAACAGCCAGACAACTAAATAGGACGAGAACATAGTTTCTAAGACCTCTCTGGAAAAAATTGTTTTTTATTATGGATTCAATGTCTACTCCTCAAATATAGACCTAATGAGCTCACTAACTGAGAAGAGCTCTTAGCCCAGTGGTTTTCACCTGGGCCCCATGGAGCCCCACAGGTCTGTTTAGGTAGACGGGGCCACACAAGGGAAGCTTCAGGTTTCCTAAAATGCCTACCTGCATTTTATGCATTGGCAAGATTTCACCTAAGGAAAGGGCTCTGTTGCTTAAAAAACAAAAGGTAAACCAAAACAAAGAACAAAAACAAAGTTAACATTATGGTTTTGGACCCTTGACTAATATCTTCCTTACTGTTGGAAAAAAAAGCTTTTCCATTACTTCAAACATGTCCCCAAAATAATTTCACAGGGTAAGCTTTAGCTCCACACTTGCGAGAGAGAGGCAGGAGTAACGAATCAATCCTTCTGGTCCTTTCTCTCCTAGACTGCACTGTTTTACTTTTCCTTGCCTAAGCACCCTGACAGTATCCAATAAAAACAATCCATGATGATGCACATGGGACAAAGCCTTTGGTGATGGTTTTAAAACCTGACTGCAAATTCTTTTATACTCCTACCATCAAGAAGTGGAGTCTAGGGGCCAGCCCTGGAGCCTAGTGGTTAAGTTCAGCACACTCTGCTTCAGAGGCCCAGGTTTGGCTCCTGAGCGCGGACCTACACCACTCACTGGCGGCCATGCTGTGGCAGCGACCCATACTAAAAAGAGAGGAAGATTAGCACAGATGTTAGCTCAGGGTGAATCTTCCTCAGCAAAAAAAAAAGAAGAGGAGTCGGTGCCCCCTGCCCTTGAACCTGGGCAGGCATTTGTGACTGCCTCAACCAAGAGGATGCAGCAGAAGTGACAACGCTGACTTCCGAGGCTAGGTTACAAAAAGCAATACAGCCTCTATGCAGCTCTCTGGGGAATCTCCCACTGAAGCCCTGGGCCACCACGTAAGAAGTGCAGCTTCCCTGAGGCTGCCAGGGTGGAAGACCACATGGTGCAGGGGGATGCCCCAAGAGCCCCTGCTCTTTGAGTCTTTCCTGCCCAGACACCAGACACATAAATGAGATGTGTCTCAGCCTGGTCACCTTCAGACTGGAACCACATGAGAAACCCTAAGTGAAAAGTGCCTACCTGAGCCCAGTCAACTTCTAGATTAAGAGGTAATAAAACATATTGGAGGGGCCAGCCCGGTGGCGTAGGGGTTAAGGTCGCCCACTCCACTGCGGCAGCCCAGGGTTCACCAGTTTGGATCCTGGGTGCGGACCTCTGCTCCGCTCATCAAGCCGTGCTGAGGCAGTGTACTACACAGAGCAACTATAAGGATGCATAACTATGACATACAACTATCTACCGGGGCTTTGGGGAGAAAAAAGGAGGAAGATTGGCAACAGATGTTAGCTCCGGGCCAATCTTCCTCAAAAAGAAAAACAAAAAAACAAAGAACCCCACTTGAAAAAAAAAAATATTGGTGTTCTAAGCCACTAAGTTTTGGAGTGATTAGTTTCATAGCAATAAGTAACTGGAACACCTGTTAGGTCATTGAAATTGCTCACATTTGGTTTTTCATGTAGTCAACAACCATTTGATGGCTTACCAAGTGCCAATGGCTAGTCGCAGTGATAGGGATATCAGTATGGAATAAAATGCTCTGCCCTCATAGAGCACATTCTAGCTGGGAACAGAGACAATGAACAAGTAGACAAGAAATGTCACATGGCAATATATACTGTGAAGAACAATACAACAGGAGTAGGGGCTAAGGAGTGCAGTGTGGTGTGTGCTGGCAGGCTGGCTACCATGCAAAGGGTCGTCAGGGGATGCCTCACAGAGAACTGGAAAAAGTGAGGGAGCAAGCCATCCAGATTATGGGAAGAGCATTCCCAGGGGGGCAAGAGCCAGTGCAAAAACCACAAAGTGCAGATGTACTTGATGATAGGAAGAGAGGGAGTGTAGGATAAGACCAGAGTTTGAGGCCCCATCATGCTGTCCTCACGGGTCAGGGGCTTGGCTTAACTGGACTTTGGTTAATTCTTATCTTCTGTACACTGGCCATCAATGAAATATAAGCCTCAAAGGTTTTATTTACATCAATGGTAATCGATCTACTTCCAGAGAGTTGTATGTTCATCCTGACTGTGAGTGCAAAGTCAGCAGAGAGCTTAACACAGTGTTGACAATTTCTTGAAATTACATGTAAATTTCTGCTATGTCCACATATTTTTCTGTGAAGGAGATTTATTACTGCCCATTACATTTTCATACAGGTCTCTGACCCCCTAAATGCCTAGCCTAAAATTAGTTCTAAAAGGACTTAGGCCCATGAGAGTCAGAAACAGCAGCGATGCTTCTGAGAGCTGGTACTGCTCCATGGGAAAGTGCTTCCAGAGGACTGAGGCTGTCTGCAAACCAGTGCCAGCCCACAAACTACTACCAGACATAAGATAACAGGCTATGCCAGAACATGAATCACTTCATCACTAGGCCCATATTTAGTAAGACTACTGAAAACAAGGAAGCAGTGAGTTGATTTCCGTTCTGGTACAAGCACCTCATCACACTGTCAATCAACCAATAGCCTAAAATTTGAGCATTCTAAAATGAAATACTCTCTCTCTTCCTCCAGGAAATGCATCGGGTTCAAAACCAACAGTGAAAAGTATTGTACACATATTGCTTTCTAAAGACTATGTGTTCCTAAGATATTACTGTCAAAGAAAGAACTAAGTCTTGTAATAAATGTCTTGTATCTCTCAATAAAAAGTCTTGTATCTCTACTGAGATAATCCTGACTCTGAAATAGTTTCTAATGTCATATCCACATACTAATTTCCCAGAACTAAGAAAAATAACTCCTTACCTCAGAGTCCTCCTCATCCGAAAATAAACCTTTTTGAGTCTTTTTATCTGACAAGGGCTTCAGATTTTTGCTGGAAGGTAGGGTAACCTTAGTTGGAAAAAAAATAATAATTAAGAGTTAAACCAGATACCTGGAAACGAGGGTTTATTCAATCATTCATTCAGAAAATATACTGAGTTTCTGCTAGGAGAAGGTGTCAGGGGATTAAAGACGCCATGGACCTAGGACATGTATCAGGTTCGTACAAAGAATTAACACAAAAGGAGAAGTATCATGAGAAAGAATTTAAAAATCGGTGTAAGTTAGGAAAGGGGATAAAATAGTTCCTTGATAAAGCAAGTTTCTCAGGATAGCAAGGCCTAGACACAGGAGACAGTACAAGAAAGGACGTTATAGGCAGAGCGAACTGTGTGAGAAAAGCAAGATAAAGCAGGGGACACATCTCGTGGATCAGAGAGTACGACGGACTGCCCACATCACACAGTGCACAAATGGAACGTGTACAGCAGGAGCCAGTGTAGGAGGGTGGGCACCTTAGGAGCCTGCAGGGTTCTGAGTGCTGGGACCCAGCTGGTCGGCAGCAGGAAGGTCAGGGTTTCATAGTGAGGACACGACCTAAGATGTGTTTTAGAAAGATCAAGGTGTGCAGGATAGCAAAGGGGAGGGACAACACCCAGAAGAGCTTAAAGACTGATGGAGACGCAACTCACCGGCCAAATACAGGTCAATACAGCATCAAAATAAAATAATGCTGTTAATGGATCACAAAATACATTGAATAGAGAATCCATGATCCTGCAGTGATACTAAAAAAGTGGGAAAGGAGGAGAGAAAGCTCTTCTGTTCAGAAGAGTTCCAGGTAATAAATGCAGAAGAAACACCAGAATTAGAAAAGCATTCTTTTGCACCCCCAACATGATAACTGGTTCAGGAAAATATCAACAGATGGTAAGATCACTGAGCAAGGCAAAATCTGACAATTGCTGAATCTAGGTGGTATCTGGGTGTTCGCTGTACTCTTCTTTCAATTTTCTGTAAGACTGAAGTTCTTCACTACACACTTGAAAGGAAACAATACTTCTCTCTGGGTTCCAGATGAATTAACAAGATGCCCCAAATCAACACTTCTATGTTTTGTCTTCCCTCCTGCTCACCTTTTTTTCTGCTCTTTCTTTATTTTCATCTGTCTGATTGACAGTAGCTTCCGGCAAAGTCGCTGCTTTTTCTTTGAACAGATCTCTTTCCTCATCATCAAAGATATTGGCAGTGGATTTGACTTTGTCTTTAGAAACAGACCACAGCATAAAATTACATTAACGTCAAAAATCCCACCACAAAATTCATAGATCAAAAATTCTTCCCTCCCAAAGAATAAACAGAAAAAGTATGTTATTTCTTGATTAGTTATGAAGAACTATTAAGCGGACTGGATTGGAACTTTTCAAAGAACACAACAGCAGCTCAAATAAAATAAAGGAGAGATGGTTCAATCATTTGGCTTACACATTTATGCAAGCAGCAGCATCCTATGAGTTGCTTGGATGGGCATAAAAGGTAAAGAGAGAACTACAGAAAGAATGATCATTTAAGAGTCAACCACTCTAAGAATCTGAGAAGTGAGGGTTGGCTCCTACTTTTAAAAAGTCAAACTATACAGAGGCATATATAGGCAAATACTGAAATCTCCCCCGTAACTCCAGACCTGCCCACCCAAACAAGATGTGCGTCAAGGAACAGTTTGGTATATATGCTTCTAATTCCCCCAAAGGATATACTAACATACTAATTTTAGTTATTCATAAATAAGGCTATAAATGATAACATAATTTGAACAATGTGTCTTAAAATTTGCATTTTTCACTTAATGTACTTGGGGTCTCTTCCTATGTCAATATACATAGATCTCATTCTATTAAACAGCTTCACTGAATGGAAAGACCATAATTTATCCTACCGATGACTACCTGGGCATTTTTCAACCTTTCACTACCACAAGCACTACTACACTGAATGAGGTGCGTGTCCCTGAAATGAGGGCACTGACTCATGAATGTCCCAGGAGAGCAGCAGCTGTCAAAGAAAGCGGCATCAACTTATTTATGATTCCAAATCAGTACTCAAGGATATCTACTAAGTGAGAGCCCTCCCAAGCCATGAGAGGCACTACTACCCATATTCCCTGTCATTTCAGTCGGCCCAGATATGAGTGTATTATGCATCCAGTTTGCACTCTTTCTAAAATAACTAGGCTATTGTTTGCCTCACGTTTCTGCTGCTACCCTTACTTTCCACACCTTCCACTGGAAAAGGAGTATAGTCCAGAGAGCCTGCTTCTCAATGCAGCCTGGCCCATCTGGTCCTTACGAGACAGAGCCCTTTTCTCAGGCTGCTGGAAGCTGTGTGCACCTTAGTGGTCTACCTTTCTTTTCTGGAAAAACACCCAATGAATGCAAGCCCTCCTACTCCAAGTGCAATCCACAGACCAGCAACCTCAGCCCACCAGGGAGCCTGTTAGAAATGTAGATTTGCAGGCCCCACTCCACACCCACTGAATCATAATTGGCATTTTGACAAGAGTCCTGGGAGAGACACGTGCACATTAAACAAACTGATTAGAGGAGTGATTTCATGAACATACTGGCTTAAATCTGAGGGCAGAGGAAAGAAGAGTGGTAAAGTGGCCAACAGGTTGAAAACCCTGTTGTATGCAAGGATAGGTCAACGTTACCTGGGCTTTCTGGCACAAAGAAGAGAAGCTGGGAACTACACAGCTAGCACGTGACATTCTGCTCATAGAGTTTACTAAAGACTGCTGGAAAAAAGTGTGATTGAAACTTTCTCTGTAATTCCAAAGGTCAGAACCACAAACCTTGAGCAGATACATAGGGGAACAGATTTCAGCTCTCTGTAAGGAAGATAATCCTAGTAATTAGTTTCCAAGTAATTAGTTTCCAAAGCAGAAAGACTGGTTCATAAAATAGAGACCTCCAAGGCACCATAACTAATTAAGTAGAGATGAGACAACTCTATGACAGGAATGCTTGAGGAGAGATTCTGGAACTACAAGAGATACAGAACTAGAGGAGCGTTAATGTCCTTTTTAGGTCAACATTTTTTTCTGGCTAAATACCCAGAAACAGAGGCTGGAACGGCTACCTGTCTTGGGAGGTTTGCTGTGGGATGCCACAAAAAAGTCATCGTCGTCATCATCGTCATCGAAGAGACCAGCAGGCGCTGGGATGTATGGGCTCTTCCCTGGAGTAGGCTGATCAGGCTTCTGGGGTTCCTTCAGTGATGGAGCAGGGGTAGCACCAAACACATCAGCATCTCCTGTGGGTGGAGGGACAGGACAGCCCAGCTGTGAGCCAGTGTGGGTGGGTCTCCTGACTTTACAAAAAAAAAAAAAAAACAATACCACCCACCAAGAACTTTGAGTTTCAGTTCATCCACAAGACACATTAACAGGACCCAATAACCTCCATCCTTTACTGCTACAGAACATCCCACAATGCAGAATCACCTAGTTACTCAAACACAAAAGAGTCCCAGCCACGGATTTCTAAGGGAATATGAGCTAACACCAGTAAATGAGCTCCTTCTGAAGGCTGTCTGATGCCCTCCGAAGCTCTTCTTACTCTCTAGCCAGCCCTCAGAAGAAGACAACTTTAAAACGACAAACCGATACTTATAAAGTTTTTAAAAATAAACCCTAAGTTAGGATACCTAAAAATACAGAAACAGCTCCTGCTGGGATTTTCTTTCCAGGTTTGGAAGATGAAGACACTAAAATGAGAAAGAAAGAGATAACTTTTTCAACAAAGAAAATAACTTTCCTTGTTAAATTAATCTTCCTAAAATATGTCAACACAGAACATAGCTAACAGGAGACCTTTTAAAACTAATTTTTCCTGACGGAGCCATTTTAGAGTTCCTTAGCTTAGTCTTCTCTACCAACGTGATGACTTTTTCTCGGTACTAACACAATCTAAGCTGTGATTCCCATGGAAGGTCGCTCTGCCTCTGGGCAGACAAGAGCAGTGGGGTTGGCTGGGGAGGCCAAGGAAGGTGCAGAGCACAAATGGGGAGGCGGGGGCAGAGCAAGCAGGGCTTCTCCACAGTTCCCACTCCATCCGCTCCAGTTTGATGAGAACGAACAAGTAAAAAAGAACAGCAGAAAATCTGAAACATCAGTCAAAAAATGAAGATAACTACAGGAAAGAGGGAAACCCAGCAAGTCACCGATGCTGGCAAGTGAAGCAGGAACCACAGGACAGTCAAGGCATCCAGCATCATGGCAAGTCCAAAATCTGACGACTCGTGGCCTAGGTAGACCAAATCACTTCAAATAACTAATCCCCAATTCCTAGGAACTACCACGGACCTAATGGAATAATACTTGTAAGTTTTTAAATTTTTTATGTGTGCTTTTTAAAAAGTCCACAGATGATTCTGATGCACACCAGGCTGAGAAATTACTGACCTCCAACTTACATGCAGAATTTTAGAATTGTTTCTTTGAATTAAACTTGATTAAGTTAAAATATCCTCGACGCTGCTACAGAGTCTTTTCCTGTTTGACTTTGTATGAATTCTGTCCTAAGAAAGAGGTAAAACCGTGATGTGGATTTACAGATGGTCCTTTTGTTTTTTCCAAGACATGAATTGGTGAAAATGAGCCCCTTTTAACTAGACCAAGGCAAACACAATAGCTTCCTGCCTAACAAAGAAGTAAGGCTTGGGAACAACTTCAGGGGGCCCATCTCCTAACGAGAAGTAAACAGTTCTGGAAATCTGTTCGGGAAGAAGCACAGTCAGCCTCAATCTAAGCTTACCTCCATTAACAGAGGCTCGAGCTTCCCGACGCTGAGGGGCTTCCGTGAAGAGGTCACTCTGGTTGTAATAAGGTATAGGACACAGAATTCAAAAAAGCAGAGGAAAATGAAGCTACATTTGAAGATTTCTAAAGAAAAGTACCTTGGAAAGTTTAAAGCTACATATTTACTGTTCTGTCAGAAAATCTTTTCCAAAGTGAAGATTATGGCAAAAATCAGATCCTGAAATAACTTAGATCTGTCCAGGAACTAAATACAAATATGGAAGAAGACACTAGATAAGGTAAGAAACAACTGCCTAACCAAGTAAATTATTCACTATTAACACTCACATCCTCTCCCCACCTGACAAATGGCATCAGGATACAGTATTTTCTCACTTTGTTAGTTCCAAAATCTCCCAAAATATGAAGGTAGAAACAACTTCGAACTAAGAAGCCATTTTTTCCCCACTAAAGGAACTAAGTGTATTTCTTCCTTGTGGACCCATCACACAGCTATGGAAAGGTTCACTGATTACCACTGACTCACCTCCTCATCCTCATCATCAAAAAGTCCCTTCCCTCCACTGAACAGGCCTCCTCTAGAACCAAATGGCGAGAAGTCTTCATTGGTCAGCTCGGGGGGTGCGAATAAGTTATCTTCATCTAGCAAACAGAAAGGAATGTTTTGCAGAGAGAGTTCCAGATGGGTGTGGAACTCCAATTCCAGGGCTTAGCCTTTACAACATCTCCAAAACTGGCATGGAGTTTATCTAACCATACCTCACAAGGAGTCTGAGGAATTTCAAACAAAAACTCACTGAATAGTCCACTGAATCCCTTAAAAGGCTCTCTGAGTTCCCACCCTCAAGTCTGTAAACGTCTGGAGCAGGGTGAATTCTGCAGGTCATCCCCTTTATCTAAATTTCTTTTGAAGCAAGTATATGGTTTAATTGCCATTCAAGACCCCTACCACCAAGAATTTGGGGACTGAAGAGCAGACTAAATAAAGATCTGCAGATTGACACAGTCACAAATGGGAATATAATGGACATTACTGTTTAACATGAAAGGGCCTAATATATTCTTTATTGAAAACAAATGCTAGAGATCCCTAGTTTCTATACTTCTAGAGAATTCTAGAAAGATAGCTAACGATCACTATACAATCCAATAATTCTAATCTTTAAAGCATTTTTACTCCACACTCACCTCTCCTCCCAGTACCCCAAAGGCATGCTTTTAAATGCTTTGAAAAAGTGAATGGAGACAGACCCCATCTGTCAGCATTTCAAGTGGCACATTATGAATTATGTAAGCAATATTCCTGAGTTAAGAGCCTCCTAAGATAACAGAATTGAGGGAAAAGGCCTACCGTCTGAAGGCGGTCTCCTTTCCTTCTTCTCTTTAAATGTCTTTCGAGGTTTCACTTCTCCTGGGGATAATGCTAGAAGAATATTTCATGGTTTTAACAATACTCAAGTCTACTCTTAGTATTTATCTACTGATTCTTTACACACGCCTGTCATCCTCACAACTGCTAAGCTAAGAGCAAGACATTCAACTTCATATCTCAGCTCCACCTGAGCCCTTCACTCAGTGCCTGACCCACAGCAGAGACTCAGAAGTGCCTCCTTTTAAGGCAGAAAGCTTCAGCTTACATAGCAGGGTCATGTGCACACCAGAATCCGCACTTGTTGGAAGAGTTTTTCTGACATCTTTCCACCCTGTTAAATCACTAGAATGTACTGTACAGTACATTTTTATCTACTCAAAATATAGGAGTAGTATTAAGCCAGGGATTCTTAACCTGGGGTATCCATTAATCCCCAGAAACTGCATATATAGATATGTGCATATGTGCATTTTTCTTGGTGGGGGAAGGGTCCACGGTGTTCAATTATCAGAGTCTATAAACCAAAAAAAGAATAAGAACTACAATTTAAGCCTCCCATGCCTTAGTAAATAAAGAGGGAAATCTGCCCTCAGTGAAGCCCAGCAGAGGGCTGCACTTGCCCACCACCTGTTAACTCATCTTGATGGCGTACTTGTTTGCTCCTCTTCCATCCGGCTTGCAGCATCCCCTTTGATACGAGCTGCCAGCTCATCAGCAAATGATGTAGGTCTACTTCTTTTCTACGGCAGAAAAGATAGAATGAATCACTTTTTCATAACACACAAGCTGGTACAGTTTACTTTAGGACACCTAACAAAACTATGTAAACAATGGCAAAGATATTGAACTGATGAGAAAATAGGGTTTACCTGAATGAATTTAAATATATGCACACTAAACAGGTCACCTGAGAAACAGGACTCAGAGCTCCTTCAAAGGGAGATGCTCTTTATTTCCTTACTTTTTTATACTTCACTTTAATACTCAAAGATCTGGATAAGAAAACTACCATGAGGTGGCTGGGGATGGGGGAGGGGAGGAGTATTAGGGTCTTAAAACTGGAACTGAATATATTTTCAATGATCTAACTTGTATAATCATAATATTTGGAGAAGAAAATGGTACTCATAAGGCAGTCTGGGATGCTCAACCATTATTTTCAAAAGTGTAAATAAATGAAATGACAAGTATAACAAATGAGCTGGTTTCAAATATAAATGACAATAAAAGGAATGAGTCCTAGGTACCACTTCTAAAACCTGCCCAAGTGATAGCAACTGTAGTCTTTCTTACAGGTCTAGTATTTTCTTCAATGTCCTCAACATCTTCCTCCTCCTTCTCAGAGTCAGCAAAAATGTCACAACCATCGTCATCCTCTTCCTCATCGCTCATTTGTGCAGTGTGCTAAGAGTATAAACCACCAGATTAGAACTATTAGATATGGTCATCAAGTTGAAAAAATGATACTGCCACTTGGCCTTTAGACTTCCCCTTCAAAACTGCAAATAATGGAGCAAAATTTATGAAGTAGTAAATGAGTTAGAACAAATAACGCACAGGATTTATTTTCAGTATAAAAATATAAAAGCAAAATATTGAAATATTAAAAATGTCCACCACCAGAGAACTGAATAACTAAACAAGTACAGTCTTATCTTAATAAAAATACTAACAGTTAAAAGGGATGAGTCATAACAACTGGAGAGATATCTAAGTAGATCAAGTGAAAAAACGCTGAATGATAAACCTGGCCTGACACTCTGACCAACCCTCCCAAACTACACCATTTCTATGCACACAGATGTATTTGTAAAATAAAAGAAAAACACTTGGAAATATACGCTCCTAGATGGTAACACCACCCCTGGAGAGTGTGAGAAGATGAGGACTGCAGAGCTCAGACGTAGCCTTATCTGTTAAGTTCTAATTTTTACAAAAGCAGCCACTGGGATGCAAAAATCGTATAATTAAAAAAAAAATTTTAATGTTTAAATCAATAAACTGTGGCAGGCACTATGCTAAAAGCACTTTATTAACTAATTTAATCCTTAGAACTCCAACATTACCTGCGGCACACAAAACCAGTCTAGTCTATCTTTAACAATACAAACAAATGGTTATACCAATGCTTTTAATCACCATATTCTATTATTTGAAAAACTGTCTGAACTTATGGATCTTAATAGCAAATTCCACAGAAATAAATATACTACTCTAAAGAAGGACTGATTATTAAAATTATACAGACTAGCTACATTTGTGAATACAACTGGGAAAATATAAGTACCAACCAAAGAGTGCCAAAGCCTTCATCTGATAGTTGAAAATTTTTGTGTAAAAAACGTTTCCCAATTAGGAAACTGAAATGCAAATTGGGATGATCTCAATATACCACTGTACATATGTTATGGTAGCAAAAATCATAATCCCAGTGCTGATGAGACTGCAGGAAAATCATTATGCATGATCTGTAATTTGGAATATCCATCAGACGCTAGTATCAAGAGCCCTTAATGTAATGCTACACTACTTTAATCCTAAGGAAACAGTTCACAGAAGCAAAGAATGCATGAAAATACTGAAAACCTAGAAATAAACTATTTCTCATATACATTTAGAGACTACAACAGTATCATATATCAATATGCTTAAAAAATATAGAAATTTAAGAAGCAAATTACAAAGACTATTTAAAATGACAAGGAAACACCTTGGATACGTTAATATAAAATAGCAGAAAATAAATAATGCATATTACGAAAAGAATATGCCCTTAGAAGGATATACAAAAATTAAGACAACAGTGCTAAGACAGTAGGATTAGAAGATTTTCATCTTCTGAGTGTTCCTTAACGTTACTGCTATACTGTCTCAAATTTTAAAACAATCGAGGGGGATTCATGTGAAAAATTCAGTTTTGGTAATTGGGCCTTCTTTCAGAAGCTCTGTTTCCCAATTTTCTTTTTTATTTCTTTGTTGTCTACGAAAAATGAAGAAAAAATATAAAGCAAAGTTGGGAAAAAATATACAGGGGGTAGTTAGCCCAAAAATATGAAATGCTTGAAATGTAATTAGTTGTAAACCTGAATTAATCCTTACTTTCTCATAAGTCATTCAAAAACAATTTTAGTACATATTTAGTGTATATGCTATGCTTCGATTAACATTTAAAAAAGTAAAGTCACATCAATACATGAGTCTTACCCGGTTTTGATCATTGTCACTACGATTGGCAAAATCTTCATCTGACTCCTTTAGAGGAAAAAAAGGCTTTGTTGTTAACCCAGGCTTTACTCAGAAGCACAGAAATTATTTTCAGGTCTAAGTCTCTGGGGCAGTCGGTACTTGCTCTCTTTGTACTGATTACTGGTCACCTGAAGTATCAAGGTGCGGATAAGGCAGGTAGGTGGTAAGATGGCCAAGCCGTTGTTCTAGATAACATGTAATTTTTAGGGTTCATTTAAACATCTCTAACAATTTGTTCATATCTATCTATACTATCATCTCTTACCTTTGGATTTAAAGAGTTGCACATTTAATTCACTAAATTATCAAAAGTTGGTCTGTGTTATTTACATTTTGGACTCCACTCTCTATATTCCCTCCAAGTAGAATAACTACTTCATCAGGCCCAAGGGAATGTCAGCTATTCGCTACCCGCAATTAGGTAAAGAGTTGTTTCAATGACTAAAAGCAAAGGACTTAGCTAGTGACAACCAGTTACACTGAGGTTATTTAAGAAAAGCTTATTTCCTACTGCCAGGTTTTTTGTTTGGAGGGCTGGAGGAAGGAAGGCAGCAGGGGGGTACTGTGGAAATGGGGAGGGAGAAGAGAAAAGCACACATACAATACCATCTCCTTTTAGAAATCCACACTCAGGGACTATCCTTCAAAGTGTTTCTGCCCCTTACAATAACGAATATTCCATTAAAAAGGAACAACTCCAGATACAATAGGGTCAAGGGCCACAGACCCCGAGACCCTAGAGTATGGAGTCAGATTATACTCTGTGGATATGAAGATGCTAGAGGCATCAGCAAAGCTAAAATGTAAGTAGATGCTTTAAGCATTCCTCTGGGTCTAGAAGGTTTTATAGTAAAAAAGTTTTAAATGTGGACTTTTTTCCTACAATTATTGAAAGACAGAACTTACTCAAAGACTATCTCAGGTAGAGATTTCCCCAAAATATCTAAGCCGCCTCCCTCAAAATATACTGGTGAGAAGAGGATCTGGTGGGGAGGTGGGAGGGAGGGCACTGGTAGAAGAGACTAAAGGAGCTTTCCCTGTTTTTGTACACAAGACAAAAAGGAAATCCAATCTCAAGGAAAAAACTTCAGAATATGGCTTCTATCACTGTTAAAAGATTACTGAAAACAGATTGCTAATTCACAAATACGTTATTTACTATCCTTCTAAAGACATCCTAAGTTTCTGCCCACCATGACCGAGACACACCAAATGGCCCTTACCTCCTCTTCGTTCTCTTCTTCACTGTCTGCAATACTACCATGACCGCTGCCTACCGAACCTTCTGGTTAGAAGAAAGATAAGGGTTATCGCCAATATTCATAAGAAACATCCTTAGTTCCTTCCCAAAATCACAAACCACCATACATCAGGATCAGAGATTCTGATAAAACTATCTATACTCATTAACTGGAACTACAAGTATCTTCACTATAGAGAGGAATGGAACAGTGATATCCCCTCAAAGTATCTCCCCACAAGATACTTCTTAGTTACAAAAAAAATTATTAATTACCAAGAAAAAAAACTGGCCCCTACTCCTCAAAAATGTTAAGGTTCTGAAAAGCAAAGAAAGGCTAAGACACTGTATCAGACTAAGAGAAGACTAGAGAGATCTGACAACTAAACGCAGTGAGGGATCCTGGACTGGATCCTGGATTGAGTTAAAAAGAGACTGTAAAAGACATTATTGGGAAAACTGGCACAATTTGAATATGACTGAGGATTAGCTAATATAGTAGTATTAATAATGTCCAGCAAAATTTCCTGACTGATAATTATACTGTGGTTATATAACAAAATGTCTTTGTTCTTAGAAAATACACACAGAAATATTTAGGAGTAATAGGGCATGATGTCTCCCAAATAAGTTCAGAAAAAAATATTATGTATATATATAGAGAATGATAAAACAAATGTGGTGAAATGTTAACAGGTAAACCTGGGTGAAGGGTACACGGGAGTTCTTTGTACTATTCTTACAAATTTAATGTCAAGTTTGAAATTACTTTAAAACAAAAAGTTAAGATATAAATGTTAAAAGTAACAAAAATATTTGCTGCAAAAGAGTACCTTCACTAGACAGTTCTCCGAGACCTACGTCCTCCTGCTCCATGAAGAGCTCTGACCCAATTAAATAAGGTAAAGGACGATCAATGTACAGATCCTGTAAATAATGGAAGGGAATAAGCCATTAAAGGTTTAGGTTAAAAAATAAAAGTAGGTGTTCTATTTGACATCTTGTTCCATCTGAGTACTCCAAACAAATTACACAATAAAAGTGCAGAATAAGAAACACAGCAGGATTAAAAGTACAAAAAAAAAAAAATCACTGATTTAAAAAAAGTCAAATCCTAGGTAAAGACGGCAAAGTAAAACTGAATCACACAGAATCTCCCTTCTCAAGTGCCTATTAACAAAAATGGCAAAAGCCTGCAAAAAGTTTACCAGCAGAAACCGAACATGGAGAGGTGCACAACTTTCATAGTAACATGTTCAAAAGGAGGAGGACCAAAGTAGGAAGGAAGGAAATCGGAATTCTAGTGAGCTACCCTACCTTCTTGCCCTAAAAAGCAGCACCTGGTGAGCAAAAACCAACCAATCTTGAAAATCATCAATAATAGTCCTAAATTTGGAGAGAATCACACTGAGGAAATAACCCAAATGCTTTATATAACTATGAGAAGGCACGTGGGTATGTCCAGGTTGGGGGAGGTGGTATGGACAAATAGGTCACAAACAAGGCACAAAGGGTATCGAGGAGGACTCCTTCGCACTGCATCAGAGCAAAGAAAAGGCTGGAACAGAGCACAAGAAGCATGGGCTAGAGGAAAGAAACAATGGCAACCATGCAAATATCAACAGTCAACGTAATGAACTGAAGGAACACATCCAAAAGACTGACGAGAACCTATCTGGGAGGAAAAAAAAACCCAGAGAAGAACAGAATAATATCCCCCAGAGGTTCACACTGCATAATTTAGAAAAGTGAAGTTGGTAAAATAAGACCAGATGATAAAACAACAGAATGAACTGAAGGAGACTGTGAACACGGTAATACACGTTGAGGACCCTTCCACCTCACTACTCTACTTCTGAGTCCCAACCATCACACACATTAAAAATTTAAGGTGAAGAAAGTGCTCTACCCTAGGACAACCTCCCATTTCCACTGCCGAGGAAAAGCTGACTTGTCCTCTACGAGGCATGACTCTTTGGCCATATCACCTCGTCCCTATCCAAAAGACCTTGGGGGACAGGGGAGACCAATTCCGATGCTGTACACAACAACAACAAGTTTGGGAAGGCTAATGTAAAGTTTAAAGATACAACAGCAACCAATTTAGTGCAAAGAAAAAAAAGTATTAATTAGGCTAACTGTTCACTGACTCAGAAGGCATCGCCAAATCCTCCTGTAAAGGAGAAAGTGGTGTGCGATCAGGAAATAACAAGTGTGGCCCAGGCAATACATTTCCCAGGGTCCACTACTGACTCCTAAATTACTACAGTGAAAAAGCAAGCCAGCAAGTGTACCAGTGCTGAAAGATCAGCTCCCACTTGGTACGACAGTGTAAGCTCAAATCAGAAGAGAAATGTGCAGCTAAGTGAATGACTAGGAGAGTTTGGCTTTGTAGAATGTTTCAAAGCACTTGTGTGTCACAAGGACTGTCTCAAATTCAATACAGCAACCTTTTATGTTTACTTCTGAGTGACTCTGTGTGGCCCCAATTGTCTCCCTTGCCAATCCAAGAGAAAGTAACAGCAAAGCAATAAATACCTGCTAGGCTAAGAGTCTGTTTATGATCACTCATAGCAGCTTTAGTCATAATAGCCAAAACCTGGAAACCACCCAAATGTCTATCAACACTTGTACAGTCTCCCTTGACACAAGCTACAGAATTTCAGGTTCCCAACAATCTCTACCTCTCATAAGCCTCCTCATCCTTCAAAACCCTATTCAAGCCTCATCTTTACCCTTCTTTTGCCAGCTCGAAGTCAATTCTCAGAGCACTTATGATGGTGACTCATATAAATGTCTCCTCTCCCCTACCATTTGGTAACGTTGTAAGAAACACTTGGAGAGCAGAAACCATGCCCTGCACCTCTGTATCCCCATAACTTGGCATGCTGCCTTGTACCTAGTAAGTGCTCGATCAATGCTTGTGTAAAGCATATCTATCTGATGGAGTCAATATGAGATTGCTATGCGACATGCTCACTTCCTGGAAGTAAAGTCCATGTCTTACAGATTCTGTGCCCAAGTAAAGTACCCAAAACACAACAGGTGCAACAATAAATATTTGAATTGAATGTCTTTACCTTTGGTTCAAGGATCAGTTCCAACCGCTCATTAGCATCTTCTTCTTCAGAGTCTGAGTTTCCTGCTTTTATATCTAGTTGCTCAAATGCACTGTCTAATACTTGTAAACCATAGTTCACAGCCTCCTGGACTTTAGGAATCAGATCTACTTCTTTTTGTTCTCGGGTCTTCTCCTACAAAAAAAAATGTTCCGTATGGATCTCCAACATACTGATGCCACCCTAATAAAACAGTGTTCATGTTCTCTAAAGCCTAGACTCATGCTCCAAAAAGACTTAATTAAAAATGTTGGGGGCTGGCCCCGTGGTATAACAGTTAAGTTTGGCGTGCTCCGCTTCGGCAGCCTGGATTTGCCGGTTCGGATCCTGGGCGCCGACCTACACCACTCGTCAGCCATGCTGTGGCAGTGACCCACATATAAAGTAAAGGAAGACTGGCACAGATGTTAGTTCAGGGCTAATCTTCCTCAAGCAAAAAAAGAGGAAGGCTGGCAACAGACATTAGCTCAGAGCTAATCTTCCTTGGCAAAAAAAAAAAACCTTAACAAAAATCAGATTCTGCTGAATGCCTCAACACAGACTTTGAAGTAAGTGTTATATTCCAAGTTTGTCACTTACTGGACATGGATGCAACTACCTAAGGTCCCAGAGCTCAAGGTTCATCATCTACAAAAACAGAAGCACAACTATTGCGTGAGGGTTCAGCTAGGTAACTTATGTAAAAGTCCCCCTAACGATGATAGCACATCATAAGCCCTCAGATGGCACTTCACTTCCCTGCTCCTGGAGGAATGAAGGGCCTGGACTTTTAGCTTCACCATGACTGCATCCCACTAACCTTGGTTAACGGTCCTTTGGACAATTTTAGGAGTTAAGACTTAGAAGAAAATACTCCAACCAGAGATGTCATTTTTCAATTACAGTTTAAAAAAAATAATAACTGAACAATTACAGTTGTTTTATAAATTTGTTTCAAACCAAGAGAGGGTCAGCTTCATCTCTGATCTATCTTATACATCATCCCAGAACAAGGCTCTGCCGCCAAAGCCTGTACATATCACCAATATTTTGCTGAAAATACTCCAAAAGTCTCCATTTCCTACAACAGCAGCTGTCAGTGACAGTCCCCTCATACACCCCACTGTGTCATTATTTGTTAGAAATATTGAAAAAAAATTTAGTGTCATTTCCCCTCTTTACAAATATCCTACAAGTGGTTGCATAATTATAGAAAGAACCAAACTATACAGTGCTGTTTTAAGAGCCAAAACGGAAAACTCTACGAGTATTTTACATTTTGACTTCAAGTATGGAAGTCTTTCTCATTTAGCTTTTTGGTTTCGCCCCATCTTTTTCCACTCCAGTATGTTTGGTTCTAGTTAAATAGCTAACACTGTACTAAGTGTGTGAAAACATGTTTTTGAAATAAATATACAGTGGCTTTTTAAAAATAGTTCACTAAATACCTACCACTTTAAAATTGAACTCTGACTTAGTGTAACCAGATACTATTGCACTTAAATGGTTAGCAAATCCTTAAATACTACTAAAAATAAAATAACTTTTTTTAACAAGGCTAGGAATAGGCAGAACTGTAGTTGGTTCTAATATCCTTTTCCAGTCTAACAGCTTCATATATTACAAGTAATAGTTACTGATAAAGTACAAACTTTTTCAGGTGATTTACATTTTCTGAATAAATTAGAGCTGATTCAAAGCTACTCCCATAATAAAATAACTCTCACATTCCACTGCGCTTTCCTGAGTGGGAGAAAAAGGGTACAACTTCTGCCAGAGTGCTACAAAGTCAAGAACCTCTTATCTATGCTTCGGCCTAGGATGTGAGAACCCAGAAAGAATGCTTATGCATCTGGAACACATGAAGCCACAGGGGGAAAAAAGGTAGGAACTGCTGCCCCTCGACTCCTTAGCCTGGTTTATGAAGTCCTCCCCTCCAGCACCCACCCCTCACCCCTCTCTTCCCTCCTCTTGCCTGACCTCCAAGATCTTCTACTAACATAGTCCATAAAACACCAGGCACGTCCCCCAACTCTGAACCTTAGTGCACGGCATTCTCTCCTGCTGAAATGGCCTTAAAATGGGGCCCTTCTTTCCTCACCCAGCTAATGTCTCATCCTTGAAGCTTTTCCCTGCTATCCTACACCACTGAGCTCTTTCTCATGTGAACTTCCAAAACAGTTAGCAGCCACACAACCTCGACATGCTATGTCCTGTCGCCCCAACCAAGACTGTAACCTCTTAAGGGCAAAGTCTCCCTCCTAGTCACCAGCTCCCTGCAATATTACTGGAGTCAATAAACGTTCACTGCACATTCCGTATCCTCTGTACTAACATATTCTGTGGCACTCAGAGCACTCAAATGTGTGTGGACTAAACCAGCATGCAACTCACTGCCATTTTTAACTGGAGGGAATAAGAATCAAAGCAGTTATGAAAAGACAAAGAAACACCATCTTTCAAGAACTCACAAACTATAGCCCAGCATGGCCTATTTTTGTATAATCCTCAAAGTAAGAATGGCTTTTACATTTTTAGAGGACAGGGAAGGAGAAGAGGAGGAGGAAGAGAAGAAAAAGAAGAAGAAGAGAAAGAGACCAAGGTGGCCAGCAAAACAAAATATTTATATCTCTGCTGACCTCTCTCTATTCTTAAGCCAGAATTCAGGAACTTAATCTATATATTTAATACACTAAATTTCAGAAACAAACCTAAGAGTTCAATTCTTGGGCTGTCAGGAGCAGCCTCTTCCATTTCCCCCAAAGCCCATCCCTCTGCCCACCATCCCCCACCAGTCCCACTATAAATGTCCACCACTTCTCTTCTCTAAGTCAGGAACTCAACGGAAGAGTGATTTAATGCAAGTACCTGTTCGGCCTTTTCTGTCTCAGCCTTGAGTACTGGCTCCTCCACTTCTTCATCATATACACGCTAAACATGGAAGCAAATTCATTTTTAAATGGTCAAAACATCATTTGGAATCAATCACGTAAGAATTCAACATACAATCAAAAAAGACGACGACAGGGAAGAAACGATTATTCAACAAATGGCTGAGGCCACTGGTCAGGAACAGAAAGCAAAGAACAGTAGTCAATTTACCAAAAACTAAATTACAAAAAGAAAAAGGTACTAGGAAACATGAAAAACGTTCAATCTCATTGTTGACCACAGAGTCACAAAAACATAAGACAGCAGTTCTCAGATCTTTTTGTTTAACCGGATACCTAATGCTGACAGGGCAAATGATACAGGTCCTCTAATGTAAGGCTCCTGAGAACGTTAGCTGGTAGAACAGATCTACTAGGTAACACGAGCTTTAACATTTTGAGCAATAAAAATGGTTAAGGGAAAAGTTATTTTCATCCTGCTGTTTAAAATGGTTGATAAATCTTTATTATCTCATTTATATGAAAGCAGATAGGCCAAGCCCATCAATGAATGCCAGAATGCCAGGCATTTGACTGACCCATACAGCATGGGCAGGCAGGCCTCTCTTTTCTAAAACAAAGCTATCACTCTGGCAACTCATTGTGATTTCCTTTTTTAGTTTTTAACTATTTGTTGTTTTTTTAAACTCCCAAAGTAAAACACCCTTGGTATAAATAGTGGGGTGATAAAAATGTTCTGGAATTACATACTGGTAAGGGTTATAAAACGTTGTGAATATACTAAAACCTACTGACTTGAACACTTTTTAAAAGGGCGAATTTTATGACAGGTGAATTGTGTTTCAATTAAAATTAAAGCCAATATAAAGATATATGTAAAAGAGATGTATTTAAAAATAGTATTTAAATGTATTTAAACGTTAAATAGTAAAAAATGTATTTAAAAACCTCCAACCTAACCCTTGGAATAACCAATTTAAGCTTGGTGTGTGCTCCTCTGTTTCCTGTGGCCCTTACACAAATATACACAGACATATGCACATATTCAGAGTTCTCCTACTCTTCCTGCTTTTAAAGAAAAATGCATACTATACACATTCCTCTGCCCCACTTTTTCACTTGATGTTCTCATAAACCACTTTCTAGGCCAATGCATATAGACTTGACTCAATCTTTCTAATATCTGCATAATATTCTACGGTACGAACTTGACCATAATTAGACAGTTCCTTATTGGTGAACATTTCCAGTTTCTGCTATTGTCAACAAATTGCTGTAAACATATGCGCGCATATATTCTTAGGCCCTGGCCCTTTCATTTCTATGGGCTTCTCAAAAACAGGATTGCCAAGTCAAAGGACAAAACTGTTTTTTAATCTTAATAGCGCATTCCAGGTCACTATCCACAAATGTTTAACAACTCTCACTGTCACCAACAATGCATTCAAGTGCCCATTTCCCAAACCTTTGCCATCAGTGGATGTTGTCCACCTTTTAAAATATCTGCCAATCTGATCACAGACAATGTTGTTCTTAAACGTCTATATCTTCTGACCCAAGAATTCTACTTCTTGAAATTTAGTTCCAAGAAAAATAACCATAAATGCAAACAATAAGATGCTCATGGCATCACGATTTGTAGCAGAAAGTCACAAACACCAAATTTGTAATTCTGTGCAATTCCAATCAAAATGCTAATAGGATTTTCTGTGGAACTTAGCAAAATAATCCTCAAATTCACACAAGAGAGTAAAAAGCCAAGGATAACCAAAACAATTCTGAATAAAAAGAAGTCACGGAGACGAGCCCTATTACGACTTAGAAATCTGTGGTATTTAAGGCTGTGATACCATTATGCAGCAAACAAACATAACGAAAGGCAGAGGCCAGAAGCAGACCCTCAATTACAAGTAAAGCCTGACTTTATATTCACATAAACACACACATACACATACACGCATTCATACATGTAAATCAATGAGGAAAAGAACTACACAATAAAGGTTACCCATACGGAAAAACACAAAATGAGACCCCTACCTCACACCACACATACATGCACTCATACACATCCACATAGACAGTCTCCAGGTAAGAAGAAGAAAACAGCAGACACACAAAGGAGCCCTCACCCAAAATGTCTAGAGTTAAGGGAAAAAATGGGGGAGTTGGTGCCTTTGAAGCAAATATGGCAAAATATCAAAATCTGTTAATTCTGGGTGTCGCATATTCGTAGCATTTGTGGTTATTCTCTGTTCTTTTCTAGACATATGAAATACTTCATTAAAATTTTTGATGTTGGAGGATTGTTAAATCATGATATAGTCATATAATGGAGTAAGAACAATAAAAATTAAGTTCACAAGTGTTACAGATGTGCTAAAATGCTTACAAAATAAGTTAACATTAACAAAAACATAGGCTGCAAAATACACATATTCAGGGGCCAGCCTGGTGGTGCAAGCGGTTGGGTGTGCCTGCTCTGCTGCGGCAGCCCAGGGTTCGCCAGTTCAGATCCCGGGCATGCAACTCTTGGCAAGCCAGGCTGTGGCAGTGTCCCATATAAAGTGGAGGAAGATGGGCACAGATGTTAGCCCAGGGCCAGTCTTCCTCAGCAAAAAAAGAGAAGGATTGGCAGATGTTAGCACAGGGCTGATCTTCTTCACACACAAAAAAAAATACACATATTCACTGTCAAATAGAAAAAGTTAAAGTCTATGCAGAAATCGAAATATAATGATGTACACCTGAAATTTATATAGTTATAAACCAATGTTACCTCAATAAAAATAAACTATACCAAAAAACTCACTTAATGCTTTCTTTTGTAAAAAACAAAACTGATTTTTTTTGAATGTTAATAAAGCAATGCCAAATTAAAAACAAAAAAGAAAGAAAGGTTAAAGTTAAAAAAAAGAAAGACTAGAAAGAAATATGCCAAAATGTTCATTCATTGGTTAATTGAGCATGGTGGAATTATAACCGATTTTTTTGTAGTTTTAATTTTTTTACACTTTAATACTTTTTATCCATGCCAATCTCCTTCAATGAGTGTTCGTTACCTTTATAAAAAGAAAGCAGAGGGGCCAGCCCCGTGGCGTAGCGGTTAAGTGTGTGCGCTCCGCTGCTGGCAGCCCGGGTTCAGATCCCGGGAGCGCACCGAGGCACCACTTGTCACGCCAAGCTGTGGCAGCGTCCCATATAGAGTAAAGGAAGATGGGCACGGATGTTAGCCCAGGGCCAGTCTTCCTCAGCAAAAAGAGGAGGATCAGCATGGATGTTAGCTCAGAGCTGACCTTACCAAAAAATAAATAAACACCTTTTAAAAAAAAAAAAAAAAAAAAAAAGCAGAAATTGAAAGCCTGATGTCTGCATGGGAAATGGATTTGGAACATATATGTCAAAATGCTGAGAGCCTCCCCTTTAGCTGATGATATGTCAGGTGCTACTTCTCTTTCCACACTTTTTTTCCTAATTGTTCTATAAAGATCAGAAATTTGGGGGGTAATTTTCAAAGACAGGAATAAAAGAGTAAATAAATCTTAAAATTGAGACTTTAAGACATGGCAGCTACCAAGGCCACTTCAGAATTTAAATAGCAAGACCATTTAACCCAAAGGTTGAGCTTCATGATGAAGTCTGAACAGCACCGACACCCTATGTTTTCCCCTCCCTGTCATTAAAAACTGCCTCACGTGACACAGCAGCCTGCAGCTGGAAAGCCAAATGTGACATCTAAGAAACCAACCAGCAAATACAAAAAGCCCACGGGATCTTTTGAGGGTGACTAGCAGTCTGCATTGCAAGTACTCAGCACACGACAGATAATCAATGATAACTTCCGCCACCCTTTCCAGGCTGAACTCACAGCTTCATGTGTTTTTTGATCATTTTAAAATCAGGTAGCCATACTCAGAACTGTTAAAGATCTTTGGTATTATCCCTGAAATGACCTTTTTCATCATCTGGGGAGACAGGGTAAGAGGTGAAGGAGGGAAATTGGAGAAAAAGGGACCAGGGGCTGGGGATTTCATAACACATCATACACAGCCCTGGTCCCTTTCATTTATGTGTGCTCTCATTCATTCATTCAAATATCCACTGAGTCCCTAGATATAAGTCTTGTGCTGGGCCCAAGGAATACAACATTTAGCAAAAATATGGGGCTTGATTTAGTAGGGGAGTTCGACACATCAAATCATATCAATAAATGTAGAATTACAATCATGGGAAGTGCTACTACAGAAGTCATTAACTAGGTCAATGTTTCAGGACAAAATTCCTAAATTAACAGGTTAATGAAGTTTTAAGAATCATGTTCCCTTTGGATTACACACTGGAGCATTGGCCACTGACAATTAGCATTTCTCCTCCTTCAGAGCCCCTCTTGAGCCTTTACTAAAAGCACTAATTTCTCTTGCCCTAGAAAGTCCTGATTGCTCCTCAGTTTCACTAACCCTGTAATGCAGTTTGCAACCTGGCAGCTGCCTCTGAGGTTAATTACTAAAACCCAGAAACCTACCTGACTTTGAATATCTTCCCAATAATCCATGAAACCAAATGGCACCATCATTCAAGCCAGAATTTTAATATATGAGTACCAATGTCAGGGTTTGAAGAAAACACACAAAAAGCCAAATCACTGCCAAGTGTATTATTAGCATGCAGCTTTTTTCAGAATTCCATTAAGCATTAGCTGCACTCTCATCATCATGCTCTGCCACGAATGGAAAGAAAATGTAACATGTGGCATTACACGAAGGTCGGGGAAGCAGTTAAATTTGGCAGTGGCAACAGGTACATCCAGAGGCAAATTCTGGCTGCAGAATCGAAGGGGAAGAGGCATATGGACTAAGGGGATGGAGAGCTGGATAGAAAACATGAAATCCAAGAAGGGAACAGAATTAAAGAACCTTTACCAAAAAAAAAAAAAAAATCAACAAAAACAAAAAAACCCCACAAAAACTAGATCATGGAAAACTCAGAATCTAAGAAAACTTGGCAAGAAAAGAAGAGCTGCAGAAAAGAGAAGTAAGACCTGAAAAATACGATTCAGAAAAACAAGTTTATGATGACCCCCACCACCAAAGTATCAATCGGGTACCAATTCAGTACCAATGTGGTACAGGCACGTCGAGTACAAAGGAAGCCTCCCAATTGTACTTCTTGCCCAGTCTAAGGCTGCACTGCTGACTGCAGAGAAGAGCTGAGAACCTGATCCAGTAAAAATGATACAGAATGAGAGCAACAAGCGTATTTACATGGAAACCAAACTCAGCTTGATGAAAAAGTGATGGGGCTACATACACCAGTAAAGAAGAGATGAGAGTCTTGTAAATTGCCTCTTCCAGTGAGAAAGATGCTCAGGACCAAGTACAGACATTCTGTGTAGACGACCACAAAATGACTACAGATTTTACTAGAATACTCGTTATATTTTCAACTTACTGCCAAAGAGATCTCTAAGACCTTTATTAAGATCTTTACTTTACAGACAGCTCCCGAAAAAAGGCTAGTAGCAGCATTTCAACCCGAACTACTAAAAAATGCACAAATAAGCTGCATAAGATACCTGCATTGCAATATTTGGTCTTAAAAATCCTGAATCTTGGGCTTTTTATAATCTTGCAATTTTCAAAATCTTTTCTATTATTTTACATCTAAGAATCTCAGGAGATAGCCTACTTTAATAATCCTCTTTCCACAAATTAATGCTGATACTCAGAAAGTTAGCCACCCTATGAGAAATATAGATAAGCTAAACTATGCTTCCTCTCCTTCCTCATCTCTTAAGGCTCCCCTTCACTCACAAGGCTCCAATCACACTTGCTTCCTTTCTTTTCTGGAATTACACTATTATGGAAGACAGTGATTTTCTCCAACAACAGTCTCCATCTAATTTATCTATGTATTCCTAGGACCTAGCACTTAGAAACTCAACAAGCACAAAGACAAAATCACACATGGGTTAAACTCAGTAATCTATTTCAAGTTGATATCATAGGTTCAGCCATCATAACAAAACATTAGTTGAGAATGTTCCAAGTAGACACACACATGCCTTTAACATAATTTATCAGAACACAATGGACAGTCAATAACTGCAGCCACACACTGGTGCCCAGAGAATCAGACCAGGCGTACGGCTCTCCTTACAGAACATGCATAATAAGGCTTGAGTAACACAATTCAGCACAACTACTGAGTACTCTCAAAACTAAAAAGGAATGGAAAGACTAGAATATGAGGAAATTTTATCATTAGATTTTTTAAAAGGCTTGAAAAAATAAAACTTTTTTTAATTAAAAAAAAGGCATTAATCCTAGAGAAAGAAGCTTCAATTACCAAGAACCACAACTTTCGTCAAAATTTAAGAGGAAGTTTAACAATAGACAACTTAATGTCACAATGATTCTTGCTCTTCAAAAAAGTATTATTTATAAGTCTGACGTAACTAAGTAACTCACGTTCTCAATGAACTGGGTATTAGACAACATAAGGAAGTCATTGAAGACATTATGGAGACGACAATCCGTGGCTTTAGTTTCCCGAATTAATCCGTCCACTTGCTTCTTGATTTCATGGGTCCTAGAGATAGTCTGCTGTGAGAATTCCTGGAGAAACTGTAGTAGCTATTTAAAAAATAAATGTACAGTAGTATCAATATTATACGCATTTGTGTCAAAACAAAAAAAGAACCCATTTCCTTTCACCTTTATGTGAGTGATCGTGTGTGTTGGCACGTAAAAGGGATGCTGCTTTGATAGTACTAAGATCAAGTGGCACTGAAAAATATTAAGAATGCTCATCAAAACAGCGGCAAGGATTCAACGGACACTTGCTATCTCGTTTCTGGAGGAATTCTGAAGTCCCGTTTGGTTGTCATTCTACGAGGGATCACAGACCAAGGGTAAAATAAGAAACCACCACTCTTACAAAAAAAAAAAAAAAATCCTATTCATATGGGACTTTGGAATCACAGTTCTGAGTTTCTTGGGCCCCCGGCCTGAAGGTTCCCACTCAAGGATATCCACATACTGGCTTGTCTACGGCCCCACTCAGTCCAGGTCCTAACACAGACTGGCTTCACAAGTGCCATAGCAATCCCACAGCGCGGCGGAGAACGATCTGCCCCCGTCAGGATGGATCTGGGTGCATCGGCAGGAAACCCAAACAAGAGAACCCCGCGTCCGGACCGCAGTCCGAGTGGGAGCACTCAGCGGGCTAAGGCCGACCGGCCCGCCCCCACCTGGTGCATAGCGACTGCCACGGTGGAGTTACCGAGGGCGAGACGGGCTGTGTGTCAGGACGGGAGGCAGCGGGACGGCTGGGTGCGGGGGGAGTCGGGGCTCCAGTCCTCGCGCTCACAGGCCGCGGGTCACCCCAGGGCGCCCGCCCCCCCTTCCCGTCCCTGGGGCCCGCCTCTCACGCCCGCGTCGGCCGCCAGCGACCAGCTTTGGCTGCTCTTGCGGATCTCTTCCACCGACCAGGGCCGCTCCCACACGGGCTCAGAGGCTGGCACCCGCTGCTGGTCCGGGGTCGTCCGGTTCATCTGCAGCGAGAAGGACGGAAAAAGGGCTGAGATCCGGGGAGGCGGCGGCCCTGGCCCCGCCCCGCCCCGCGCCGGACCAGCGCGGGCCGGCCCGCGGCTCTCACCATCCCAGCCGGGCAGCTCCGCGGGCTCTTCGCCCGCGGCGACAACACCCGCCAAAGCCCGCAGGTCTCCAGAAGCCGAACCCCCCGCGGCGTAGCCCAGGCACGTGACCGGCACTCACGTGACCCGCGCACGTGACCAGTCCGTCACGTGACCGGACGTGAGGCACAGCCAAAAGGAAGCTGCGCTGCGGCCTGGGGACGGAAGTTAAGAAATCTGTCGCTGAGCTGCGGAGGGGGAAGCTGGAGGGAGGAAGGAAGGGTGCTGGCGCCAGGGGGCGCTGAAGTAGCGGGGTGGGCCGGGTGGCACTTCAGCCCCAGAGGCAGGTAGCGGGGCGTGATCCGTCCCCGGAGCACGCCGCCAGCCCAGCGCATCAAGAGAGAGGAACCCAAGAGGAGCCTGTGGAACAACCAGCTAAGGGGCTTTAGACGGCTGACGATGTGGGCAAAGGAAAAGCTCTCCCATGCTGCGCCTCTTCCTTGCAGCATCGCCGCTGCCTGTCGCGGGGTGGACACACGGGCGCTCAGTAAATGGGCAATGACGTGTCTGGCCATCATCATGCTTGTGATGATATGCTCGGTTTCAACTCACTGTATAGGGCCTGCTTAAAATCCTTTGCTCCCTTGGCATTGCCCTCAGATTCAAATCCAAACTTCTCATATGACAGGCCAAACCCATTTATAATCTGATCCCTGCCTGCGAATCCATCCTCAACTCTCTCAGCTCCCGGCCAGCGCTCAGTGATCCGACTATTCTATCTTATACTTCCTTGAAGTTCCGTCTGCCGAGTTCCTTTTGCGCCAGATCAATTTACTTTAAAATAAAGATCTCCATTTCTTTGCATTCCTGTGTGCCCAAGGGCAGGTTATTTACCTTCCGTGAGCTTTCTTCTTCAGTAAAACGTAGATAGATATCTTGCAGGGATGTGGTATTAAATGTGGTGATATTTGTAAAACAGCCAGCACTGTGCCTGCCATACGAAGAGCATAAACATAGATTTTACCACTTCCCCTATGTCCTTTGTCCAACTCTTGAACTTTCTTTTGTTTTCGCCTCTATCACCTCAGTGGAGACTTCCCTGATTATCCCAGTGTAGTTTAAGGGCTCCCCTCAGTTATTTTCTATGTTTGTTAAAATATTCATTATAAAGCATTACATTGTATTGTAATTTATTTATATATCTGTCTCAGGTTTAATAATAGCTAACATTTATGAAGTGCTCAGTATTCACCAAACACTTTATACATATTAATTCATTTAATTCTCACAATGATCCTATGAGGTAGGTACTATTAGCACTATGTTATAGTTGAGCAAACTGAGGCACAGGGAGGATAAATAACTGACTCAGGGGTTAGACAACCAGTAAAGAAGCAGAGCCAAGAACCCACACGGTTAGCCACTATGTTACACTATAGCTAGTCTTAATTTCTTCAGGGAACTTCGTTTTCAAGTTGCCATCTACCAACCTCCTAGCCATACCCCCACATTCATTTAAAAAATAATGTAGAATTTGGTTGGTAAAATTGAGGTGAGCCAGTTAGCAAACTTGGATCTCATCTAACATCATCCTGGGCAGCTTCAGTGGCCATGTGGATGACTCTGGCCTCAAAGTGCCTTAATAACCTTAATCTATATCCCAATTCTCAAAGGCCCTTGGGGGACCCTGTTGCCTGAAACTTTCTGACTTCTAGATCTGGACTACAATAGAGCAGCCTCTTAAACTTTCATGTCTCTCTCTTATTCCATGGTCTGTTCTCAGCTAACCCAAGCCTCAGTCCCCCGTTGCCCCCTTTTCTCCCCATTCCACCCTCTTAGCTTTATTTTCTTGCCTATTCTGTCTAGATCCCATGACATTAGGCTTCAACTTCTCTTGACAGCCCTTTAATATCCTCACCCTCTGTTTCTGACACACAGTCTCTGCTAGCTCCTAACTTTGAATCAGCCCAACTATGCCCTTTCTCCTTTCCTGAACCTAGGTAGCTGAAGGAAATCACTAAAAATTCTTATTCTGCAAACTTACCCGGACCCTCAGCACTGATTAGCAGTCCTTTTACTTATTCTTGATCTTTATACTTATCCTTGATTAGCTCCCTTCCGTAACTTCACCACTTTGTTCAAACTATCCACATCACTTGCCTCTGCCAGAGAGAACAGACTTCCCCTTCTCACTTCGAGTTTAAAATGTTTCTGTGTCTACACTTGTATCTCATACAGCTCTTTATTTGCACACAACAGAATTTGACTAGCAAACTCAAACAAAATACAATTTTGGGGAAAGATACTGAAGAACTCACAGAACTTAAGGAAAAGCTAAGCAGAGAGGTCTTGGGAAGGGCATAAACCGGACACACTCAGGACATTCTCCTCTGAGCCATTGCCATCAGAATGACTCAGCTCCAATCATTTCCCTTCTCATGTTTCTTCTCTGAAATTTCAAATTCCTGAGATAAGTAGAGTCTGATTGGCATCCTTTACGTCATATTCCCAGTTCTCTAATTGGCACTTCTACCAAGACCACATAGAATAGAGACAAGTGGGTCCCAAAACAAAAATTTGGGACTGTTCCCAAAAGCAGAGAGAAAGGATGCTAGGCAAACAAAAACAACAGGCTACACCTTCCCCAGCCCCTTTCTTCCAGTCTCTGGAAAAGCCATCCCTGCTCTTGCCCACGGCCAGTGACCACCATGTTCTAGATTGAGTCCTTCGTGCCTCCCCTGGGATGGTGCTATCTTGAATTCCCTTTCCTGTCTGTTCAATCTTGCTCTCGTTACTGGCGCTTCTCCCATAGACCTTTCAAATTTTTTTTTTTGTGAGGAAGATGAGCCCTGAGCTAACATCCATGCCAATTCTCCTCTTTTTGCTGAGGAGACTGGCCCTGGGCTAACATCTGTGCCCATCTTCCTCCACTTTATATGGGAGGCCACCACAGCATGGCCTGACAAGCGGTGCATTGGTGCGAAACCGGGATCCGAACCCGGGCCGCCAGCAGCAGAGTGCACGCACTCAACCGCTACACCACGGGGCCGGCCCCCCTTTCAAAGACTTCTGAGTCATGCTTTTTATTGAGTTTGCTCGTGTTAGAGAGTTCTTGCACTGCTGTAACTGTGCCAGAGAATTCAGATAAATCTGTCATACGGTGTATTAAAACTTAATTCATTTGCGTTTTGATAAGTTCACAATCTTTTAAATGATTATAATAAGAGTTGGAATTTTAAATCTGCTGCAAGTCTTCGGATTTTTGGTACTGTATGACATTAAATAACACCTCCACATATTTAACTCAGTTTATTCCTCAATAATATAAGCTCCAACAAGATTTTGCTAGCAAAGATGCATAATTTTAAGAGAAAATACATTCCTCAACATCTAAGAGACTATTTGTTCAGTATTTGGTTCTCAAATGAAATCTTTGGTTTAACCAAGAATCCCTAGTTTTTCTTTTAAGGATCTGCCCTTCCCTTGGCTCAACTACTCACTGAAAAGATCAGAAGGCAGGCATCTGGCCTGCAACTTCAAATAATGCCAACATCGTTGCCCAGAAACGGTTGGCAAGTCCTATCAGGAGACGTTGTAACCCTCCTAGGAGTCCAATTCCTGCACTGTCAGTTTAATCAAAGCTGAACTACTGTAGGAAATGCTCCCACATGGGGATACTACCACATCGGGATAGTTTTACTCACCCATTTGCTTCACTCTTTTTTGTGTGCCTGTGTGTGTGTGTTATCCAAAACTTTTTTTAAATTAAATACATTTAACATACAATATTGTATAAATTTAAGGTGTACAACATGTTGCTTTGATACATTTATACATTATAATATGATTGCCTTTGTATGACATTTATCACATTGCATGATTATAGTGCAATATTGTTGTCTATATTCATTAGACTGTGCATTAGATCACTATGGCTTATTTACTACTCTTTGCACATTTGTACCCTCAAACAACATCAGTCTTATCCCCCACACCCCATCCCCTGGTAAACACCATTTTACTCTCTATTTTATACAAGTTTGACTTTTTTTATCTTCCACACATAGGTGAGATCATACAGTACTTGTCTTTCTCTGTCTGACTTATCTCACTTAGCATAATGCCCTCAAAGTCCATCCATGTTGTCGCATTGCCTCACTCTTGCCATTAGCAAGTCTACAACTCCTGCATTTGGCAAAGAGATTGAGTGTATATAATATTTAAATATTTAATGAATAAATTATAATAAATTATATATTTCCTATATATAATTTAAATTTTTATCATCTTTTAATGGTTTCACTTTCCAATTTTATCTTTTGTTGTTTTTTTTTTGTTTTTCAGTCAACTTTATTGAGGTATAATTTTTTCTTCCATATGGATATCCAGTTACTCCACCATCATTTATTAAAAAGAGTAACTATTCCTTGTTGAATTATTTGACCCCTTTATAAAAATTCGACCACACGTGTGTCTCTTTCTGGACATTCTATTCTGTTCTGTTGACTATATATCTATCCATCCCTGTGCCAAAATAAAATGGTCTTAATTACTATTGCTTTACGGTAATTCTGAAGTCAGGTAGTAAGAGTGCTCCAACTTGGTACATTTTCCAAATTGTTTTGGCTACAATAGGTCCTTTGTATTCCTTTGTACTTTTAGAGTCAGCTTGTAAATTTCTACCAAAAAAAATCTTGATAGGATTTATATTGAAATTGAATTGAATCTATAGATAAATTTGGAGAGACTTGGCATCTTAAAAATATTGAATGTTCTCATCCACTTTCCAATTTTAAATCATTTTATTATTTTTTTCATTATAAACTTGAATGTATTTATTTATTTTTGTTTGTTTGTTTATTGCAGTAACGTTGGTTTATAACATTGTATAAATTTCAGGTGTACATCATTATACTTCTATTTCTGCATAGATTAC